GATTTATTTAGGAATCTTCTAGGCTTTTTCTAACGTATTATTTATATATATTTGAGATAGTTACACACCATTGACCGAATAAAAGTCCTTGTTAATTTTTTAAACAGAATATCAAATTGTTATAAGCAGTTAAATTGATTATAAGGAAAAATTCTTAAAAACATTAACATCTTTAAATGACATAGTTTTATTATTAAATCTAATAAAAATGTACGGAAATATATAATTTATGGAAATCTATTTATTGTTATAGTAATATTATTATTATATTATTTTTGTGATAATATCATCATCACGGAAATAAGAAAATAGTGCAAATATCACGCAGCGTAGGCAATTCTAGAACTGCAGTATTATGTGTCAGACTTTTTAAGAAAGAAATCTTTTTTGTTATAAACTTTACGGACAATATAAAATCACTCAAAATTATTAAACAAAAATCGTATCGATATATCCCTTGAGGCACTACGAAGTGCAATATCGGATACAGGGTTACGTCGACGGAATAAAATTGCGGGAATCCGCGACACAAGTTGAGTGTTGAGCCAGATTCTCAGGATGTAATCTCTAAATGATTCTTTGCTTTTACAGTCCCTATTTTTAAAAGCTTATAAAACGATCTTCTTACATCTCAAGAAAAATTACTTGAAAATTTGTTTTAGCACTGTACAGTAAAAGTGTTGTGATGTGGTGTTAGAGGCGGATGCTTAGGAGTCTCTGGACAGCTAAGAAAATAATCGTGTCTATACTACGACAGTTACCGGTACTAAAACGGTCTTTCATCACTTGTATACCAACGGATCCTGATGAAAGGTTTTTTTTGGACATTAAACGTAGCGGTCCAGATTATTATAGTTTGTATTGTGACTGGCTGAGTGTAAGTCTGGACCTCGATACCGATACCCCGGCTAACTAACGGCTCTTACAGGTTTTGCCATCACCCAGGCACTGAGGCTTGCCGATGACAGAAGGGGAGTGGAGGAAATTGTGCCAGAAAACCTCCGAATTCTACTAAATTGTAACTATAATTTAATATATCTTATAATATGTACTAAGAAAGAAAAAATAAACAAAAATGGCTGTGCAAAATTCTTACACACTAGTCCACCTTGTGTTGTGACAATTATTATGTGGTAAATGTAGGTATGTTTAAAAAAATTTTTTTAAAGAAAAAGTACGCTTGGTGTTACAACTAATTAAACACAAGTCATTGGCCTAGTGGCTTCAGCGTGCGACTCTCATACCTGAGGTCGTAGGTTCGATCCCCGGCTGACTAATGGACTTTCTTTCTATGTGCGCATTTAACATTTGCTCGAAAGGTGAAGGAAAACATGTCTTAGACCCAAAAAGTCGACGGCGTGTGTCTGATCAGGCACTGGAGGCTGATCACCTACTTGCCTATGAGATTTAATATGATCATGAAACAGATTCAGAAATCTGAGGCCAAGACCTAAATAGGTTGTAGCGCCACTGATTTTTTTTTAAAAGATGCAAAGTAGTAAGGCCTCTGTAGATTCGAAATACAATTCGGCTGGCGTAATTTATATGTGTTTTGTGAGTTTGTATCTATATTGAACTATGGATGAGATCGTCAAACCATCAACTCAAAAATATTCGAAGCCATAGCTATCTATTGAGAGATTTTATTATAAAGGAATATAATAGCTAATCATATTCTTCAATTTTGTAGGAAATGAAAGTCTTATTCCTGATTCATATCGGAAACATATTGGTAATAAAGTTGGAAGCCAACCTTTTTATCACATTTAAATAGCTTTTATTTTACTTTTATGTGTAATAGGTAATGTTTAGCCAATTTATTTTCTTTCCCAAAAATTTTCTGTTAGAATACACGTTTTTTTGCTTTTATTAAGCTCTTAGAAAAAAACACGAAGTCACTGACGCACTTGAAGCGTTTCCGTAAGATATAACGTAAACCTCAATTCGACATATACTCATATACAAACTTATAATAACTTGTGGTTTACATTTATGCCGTGATATATTCAACGAGAATTTGCGGTAAAAGGCATGTGAATTAGTAGTTTCGTTATTATGCGGTTCGGTTTCAGTGTTATAAAGTAATTTAATATGATGCATACCACACATTACACAAAACAACGTAGAAAATATGCTAAGCCTCATCATTAATACAGGTCCATAATGGGTTCCTATATGTAATAAAATACTATAGGTACTGTGATAAAAATGATCGTAAAAACCAAAATATCATTTATTTGTGTTGACAATGTGCACTAATGAACGTCAGTAAAACCATTCAATTTACATCTGCCAGCCTTGCGATTCTAACTCACTTTTCGAACTCACACAGCGTTTTCGATGCGTCGCTCTCAAATCAGTCGTGAAGCAGTCATTTTATGATTTGGCATTCTGATAAACAATAAACTACAAGCTCCCACCTTAATAGAATGCCAAAACATAAAATGACTGCTTCACGACTGATTTGAGAGCGACCGCCGATGCGAAAACCGCTGTGTGAGTTCGAAAAGTGAGTAACAGAATCGCAAGGCAGATCTCAAATGAAGGTCGTAGAAAGGATGGAAAGAACTGGCGATAAACCACATCTTTCCTTTTCTTCGCAGTCTTCCTAAGCCCTAACTGATACGTGGACTAGCTGGCTCCACAGCACTGTATCCTCAGCTTGTCTCATTGCATTAAGGATCTTGAGACCCATTGTCTTAATTCGCTCAGACTTCTGCTGCCATCGGTCCATTACCAGTTTGTCGATACTTTACACTTCTCTCCTGGCTCGATGGCCAAAGTGGCTTTGACCCGTTTGTAAATAATAGTTGACAATCTTAGTTGTCTTTAGGTGATTGAGAATTGGTTAATTTTGCAGTCCATGGTATTCGCAACATTGTCCTCCAACATCACATCTCGAATGGGCCTTTTTTAAGATCTCCGACGCGCTTTTAAATCGTGAAGGGTTTTTTACAAATGTTTGTAAGCATCTGCAACCATCATTATGTTCCTCATCATATGAGTTATTGTTATAAATAAATATGAAAACCAAACATTGAACTTCTATTAACAAGAAATTGGAGCATGCACTAACACTACTCCGGGAACAACGCAAACACGAAAGACCATACTAAGTTTAGTTTCGTAATAAAATGGTCCATGGATGGTCTTCAAACGATTGATGCCTAGGGCATTGGTGAAAGACTCCAACGTAATAAATAAGAACGTCATTGCTTTCTGCGTTTAACAGGCGTGTATTTAATTATACACGCCTATTTTTGTGACTTTAATTTTGGCAACAAGTAATAGTGTCACACAAGTCCCGATTAAAAAACATACTACCAAATTGCATATCTCCAACACATAATATCTAACTAAAATTTTTATAAATTTTAATTATTCCGACATTTCACTTTCTTTATAATAAATACTAATTTATGCGTGTTATTTCTTTGAAAACTTTGTTATTGTAATTACTTAACAACTGGCTTAACTGCCTTGCGATTCTGTTACTCACTTTTCGAACTCACACAGCGGTTTTCGCATAGGCGGTCGTTCTCAAATCAGTCGTCAAGCAGTCATTTTATGTTTTGGCATTCTGATAAGGTGGGAGCTTGTAGTTTATTGTTTATCAGAATGCCATGATGATTTGAGAGCGACCGCCGATGCGAAAACCGCTGTGTGAGTTCGAAAAGTGAGTTACAGAATCGCAAGGCTGTGCCTTAATTATTATTTAGTGTTTTATATAATTACAAACATTCTAAATGGCAACTAGGAAATTTATGAACAATGAATTGAATGAATTTATATATTCTTAGGGACATAATATAAATAAATAATTTATATGAATATTTAAATTACTGCCGGTATCACGTGACTAGACGTTTATATTTTATAAGTAAAGCGTCGTGACACAATCACTCATTGGTCAATATAATTTCTAATCAATTTATATTTTTAATAATTATTTTTTCTTGCATAATATAATATGTTAATGAACGACGTCAAGACCTAGACGATAAAGTCATCAAAATATAAATATTAAATGGGATTACAATGCGCTAGTTTGTTTCTTAGTGAAAGTACTAGAAGAAAACGTTTTTGCCAAATGTTCCACTAAAAAAACTATGCAATTCTGTGGTCGCCAAGGAAAACGTAACAAAAATCAGACAATCTATTTTACGACGGTAAATGATAATATTTAAAAAATATGAATAACGAAGAAGATTATTTAATTAGATGTGGGGTCATTCTGCATCTTCTACCGCATTTACCATGGAGAGTGTTCAAAGGAGTTGTTCGGATTAATACCTGCAGCTGAGTTTCATCATCGGACGTCGAGGCAGAATACGAAATTCCACCCGTATCACTTCGACGTCCGCCGTTCCACAACTGAGCGGATTTCAAGGCAGTTTTTGCCGCGCACCACCACTTTGGGGAACCAGCTGCCCACTAAAGTATTTCCGAACCAATTCGACTTAGGGTCCTTCAAGAAAAGAGCGTACCAATTCTTAAAAGGCCAGCACCGCACTCGCGAGCCCTCTGGCATTGAGAGTGTCCATGGGCGGCGGTATCACATAACATCAGGTGAGCCTCCTGCACGTTTGCCCCCTGTTCTAATAAAAAAAAATATAATAATAATTATTATTAGAAACACAACTGTTACCATAATAGGTATATATTTGTACAAGTGTAAAATCAAAAGCTACATGTTCAATCGACTATAGGGGCAATACTCAGTTCCTGACGTAACGTGAATAATTGAATAACACTAACATTTTCTTGAAGGTGATAAGCTGTTCTTAAACTAACAATAAAAAGTAAGTATCAATCGGTTTAGCGCGCACTATAGCCTGGTGACCGAGGCGGACGCGACGCGGGAAAATCACCGAAAGACTGTGCGTCCGATTAAAAAAAACGTTCCGAATTTAAAAAGTGTGTGTCAAACTACTATTTTTTTTTGCCAACCAGCCAGTTTACTTTTTTTCGACATTTAAAAGTTGGCGCGTGTGTCAATCATGGATGTGGAAAAGAAAAAGGAAATTACAGTGGACGATATATTGTTAGATCTCGGACCGTTTGGAAAATTTCATTTATTAAATTATATTTTGATTCTGTTTCCGGTTTTATTGGCGGGAATGTATTCTTCAGTATACAATTTTGAAGCAATGGACCTTAAATATAGGTAAAACATTTATTCAGTATTTATTAGTTTAGCTCCTAAAACTCCGTAATCGAAAAAAAATTTAATTCAAAGGCGGATGAAATGATTTCTATTATTATAGCAATTTTTTAAGTATAGGAGTACTCGTAGCAACAAATCGAATTGTCATATTAGTTAATATTATTGTTCTGAGCTATCAAATGAGAACAATTATGATCCACAGATTTAACAATGTTGTTCTTTATTACTCCTTGTATTTTTACTTAGAAACAAATTGAAGGCTCGTCCGGTGCGTCTTTATTTGGTATATACTGGTTGGACACGAGATAAATGCATAATAAATGTAAAATAAACCATAATTGATATACTGGTAGTTAATATAATCGTACGCAACGCAAAAGGAAGTGAATGTCGTAAGCCTAGAAACTACTTATTTATTTTTAATATTTTATCTTTGTAAATGGGACTCATTGTAGCACGGAGCAGTCTTTGACGACGATTAGCATTATTTCATTCTGGTGAATTTTTATTGCATGTTGTTAAGGCTTTTCCAATGCAGAATATTAACTAATGTTATATTAACCTTGCTTTAAAATCATGTTAAAAACAAAACCCATTGGTCAGGACCATATCATGAATTTTCTTAATCCAAGGCTATTATTTTTTTATATTCCAAAGGGGATTTGAAATTCAATACCTCTGAGCTGACACTAATGCATGCCTGACAAAACAACGGAAGCCGTTAACTCTTGATACGCTGTGTTTATGAGAAAGGAGTTCGTATTCCAAAAAAAATAAACGCCGTTTAATCCATCCTGGTCTGTGATGCTCAGCTCGCGTCGAACTATCAATGTCTTTAGCGCAAAAATTAATTTGGAGCCAAGTTTAAAATTTTAACCACGCTAACCAAAGATACCAAAGAAAATATTCAATTTTTCTTAATTAACTCGATGTTTCATACTAAATGAGATTTGTCAAGCGAAGCACGCTTATTGCAATATTTGTCGAAATATTTATTTACAATAAATGCACAGCACCATAAGAGTTTTATCTAATACCAATTTGTGAGCGGTCTGCTTTCGAGAATCGGTCCATATGATTTTACAGCATTTTCTAAGATATTATCGCTTCACGCGCCGCTTCCGTTCCGCCAGCTGCCTGCAAAATACGAATGAGCAGCGACTCAAAAGAAATTTATGTAATACCAGTTAAAACTTTACTTAAAATTATATGTCACTACAGGGACTTTCTAGGTATTAAACTATTGATAGGCCAGTTTTTATCAACTTTTGCAATCATAATATTTGATGAATTTTTCAAAGTTTTCAAACTTCTTTTATTTCCACAAGCTTTGAATTGCTACATTTGGAACACGTGTTTTCATTATACAAGTGCAAATTTTATATCCGCAGTCTGAACATTGTAGATTGATTAAATTGAATATTTATGTCAGTAATGTGTGAATAAGTATGCAAATTGGAATATTAGATATAATATTTCATATCACGTATAATTTCTTGCAACCAACCTAAATGTAAGGTACTGAACATTTTTTGACTATTATGATTATTTTCGAGATATCTTTGATTATTTGAGAACTTTTAGTAACGTTTTCCTTGCAGTTTAATCAAAACAATCTATTTATTAAATAATGTTCCGTACACTTATGTATACTTTTACACGTGATTAATAAATACACCACTCCAACTTTGCAGAAATTTACGCAGATTTTGGTCTTTGATACTAAGTCAAATTTTCATTTATTGATATTAATTACACAATCTTCCAGACTGCAGAGCAACATGCATAGATTGTCTAGTTTGTCACTTTAATACCACGTACCCGATCTTAAGACGTCAAAATGACGAAAACTCTTGGAATTGTTAGGATTAATTTCTTGACGGACTGGTCTATTGATTACATTCAGAAAGATCATAAAATACGAATGACAAACTCAAAACAAATTTATATCACAGTTAAAATAAATAATATGAAATACCATTATTAAAAGCATTTTTTTTTATGGCAAGTATTTTTTTGTTACTAAAATGCATAGACGAAGTGTCTCATGTCTATGGAATATAATTTTTACTTATCTGTGGCAGCGCCTGCTTTTCCGCATGCGCGGTGATGTGATGGCTGCTAAGATTTGGCGCCATTAGTTTTGTTGTACTGAATTTATCTGTAAATTTTGGTGGTAATTATTAACCAAGTCATAGCAATTATAAATACGTAGACCTTACGGTATGTTCACTATAGTAGCATAAATTCTATTATATGAAGTATATAAAACACATTTGATAAGTTTTAATAGACTCGTGGTTTATTTATGCTACAGTTGGATAAACTATTATCTATAAATATAGTTACATGCATACAGTTTTAATTTAAAAATTTGTATAATTCACCGAAAAAGTTACTACAACATAATCCCATAATGGTAAAGATATCTAACTAACTTAACTCTAGATATTCAATATGATAAGAAGCCTCTGTTGTGACTGAAGAATTTTCCGATAAACCTATTTTTTTTTTTAAATTATATAATTGTATTCTGTAAACAATTATTTCCAAGTTTCACTTAATTAATTTTATATAATTTTCAGATGCACAGTACCAGAATGCGAAGACTCGGCAGTCGTGAACTTCAGTATACCACATGTCGATGGAGAGCCGTCCAAATGTCGCCGCTACGCACCATTCGCCAACGTCACATTAAATGATACCTGCTCAGAGCATTTTTATGACACCTCAACTGAAATCAAGTGCGATTCTTATGTGTACTTTGAAGAGCATTCTATTGTGAAAGAGGTGAGTTTTGTAATTTTTTTAAATTTTTACATAGACGTTGACTTCAGTATACTTAATATTAATGGTCTTTCCCAACAGGGATGGAAGAGGTTACATGAGAATTTTTCCTGAAATTTTTACAATCAAAATTATTTTAAAATTAGTTACACTTTTTTATGGGTTCAATAATTTAGAGGTTTACCAATATTTTACAGAATAAATATGGAAATTTTAAATGTGAATTTAAATTATCTTTCTGTTCAAAATTCAACGTTTTTCAACTAAACACGGACGGAGTGGACGATGTTCGTTTTTTTGAAAACTGTTGTCTTCAAGTTGAATTAATTATAATTCAACTTGACAATAATCATTAGAGTTCTATGGATGCGTCTACACAGCCAAAACGTTCTCAAAGAATTGTAAGAAGTATAATTGTCAATGAGGTAATGGCTACATTTAAATTTAACTAACTTCCGTCTGCAGTTTCGCCTGGATTTTGTGTATTTTTGCAAGATTTTTACGATCTCTTTAACAATAATTGGTATATTTCAGTAAATTTACTTAAAAGAACCTAAACTTCCTCGAGAACATTCGTGTATTACAAAACCCGTTTTATGCATACATACAGCAAACCCAAAGGCGGCCGGGGCACCGCATTTTCAAGAATAGGTTGTATATATAAAATATTTAAAAAAAGAAAATGCGTAACCCCCCAAGCAAACAAAAGACTTGTTGGGGTGACTAGATACTCTACCGTGGTACAATTTATTTTCGGAAATGCGTGAACAATGGATAAAAAAAAAAACTAAACCATCAAACCTTATAACGACAGAAGACAGATTTGCATCTTTAATATAATTAATCATGTGTTGTAGAAAATGCTATTTAAACTGAGGTCATGATAAAAGTTTCATAACTTTATAACAAGATATTACAACACAATAGTAGTTGTCACACGTGACTCGATAAAAGGTATAGCCTATTGCGCATTCCAGAGCTAATAAACTTTCAATCGATTAGTTTCTTATCAGTTTAAGCCGGTCATTAAAATCTTCCTACCTAGATATCATAATATGTATGTAGCAGTGATTCTCACCCTAAGAAATTCGAATTCCGACATTATCGAAATTCGAATGAATTTTCGTTTTTGTATACGGTAACACTTTGCAGCAAGTGGCCATCGTGATTCGTGGGGCCTATAAATCTATTTATTATTTTTATTTACTTACATAATATATACACTATCCTAACAGTACTAAGCCAATACGATAATGTCAAAATAAAAGATAAAATATATAATACTAAATATCGCTACTGTGCACTTCAGCGAAGATATAAAGATATCGATAGTGTCGGAGACAGCATTCGGTAGGCGCAACGTCTTTGTTTACCAGTCTGTAGAACAGACTGGTTCTGGCCCTTGGTATCGCAAATAGCTTTGGCCCTCAAATATCCCCTAGGTACAAAGAAACCGAGTTCTTGAAGAACACGTGGGTTGCTCATAACCACCCGCAAGACTAAGTACATGGATAGTAGACCAAATTTAAGTCCCGTAATAGTCAAAACCTAATTCTTCTATTTGGGGATCCTCAAACGCAACACGTTGAAAAAGAAATGCTAACCTTCTCAATCGTTTATTAAATATTCTGACAGTTGACATTGTGGAATAATATATATCATTGTTTCAAAGAAGACCTGATTCCCTCATTTCCTATGTCAAGGTTTGTGATCGCGTGCATTTCTAAGACAATATTTAAAACGATCATCACACCTTGAACTAAACCTGCTTATCAAAATGTTTAATTAGACAATTCGTAACACTGAAAAGTTTTGTTCAATAATCTTCAATTTTCATAAGTACTCATTGAGTAAAACGTACATAAAGTAATTCTTAAACAATATATGTACGATTGATAACATTTTAAATTTAAATAATTATTTTATTCTTAAATAAGATAAAACAGTTTTGGCGGATGTTATTATTTTCGAAAATAATGAATGATAAAAAAATATCATAGATTCAACCAACGAAACGGCCATTATTTGCAATAAAAATCGAAGGAGAATTTAACCTAATTTAATGAAACAAAGGATAGTATTATTGAATTCTCATAATTAAATCTCGTGCGGGTGTCAAGGCAAGACAATGCTTCATTGTTATATAAACAGACATCACTTTTACCTAGTTATGCATTTATATGTAATTAATTGGTTTACATGCTTTGAGAGATAAATCTTGGAATGTATATGTAAAAATCTTATTAATCTGTATTGTATTTGCCTATTTATATTATACTCCCCTCGAACTTCGTACCGCCTTACAGACAATGAATGTCGTGTTACAGATTCGCTGACCTTTGTTTATGATTTTAAGAAAGTAATACACAAGTATACAACATAAATATTAACTTTATTAACATATAAAACAAACACAAACCAAAATTGTTTTACATTGAGGTAGATATATAATAGTTTGCACAAAATAAATTTCTAAATGCACGCATTATTCACAACCAATATATATTTTCATTACTGACATTATTGTAAATTTTTATAATCTAGGCTATACCTTGTAGATTTGAAACCTTTATAAATACGTTCTATAATTTGAGGCGCGAGTTCACCGGATCGACGGGATGAACCTTAAATGTTTGACAGTTACGAAACCCATGAACATGTTTTTATTATATTTATTCGTACGTTTCTTCGCGTTTATGGCGGAGTTCTTTGGCAATAATAATACTAGGCCTGGACGAGGCTTGCAACCCATAAGAAAATTTAACAGTAACCCATATATTAACAACCTACAGTACCTCAAATATGAACAAAGGCGTTCATTACCAGCGAAAGAAACCACAAAGATTTCATCAACCTCTTTGATTTCAAGAAACTATTGAAAGTCAGTCATTATCTAATCAAATAATTTTAATAAAAAATATATCTAAATGTGCAAAATAACATTTGCGATGTACAAAATTTTACCAAACGCTTTTCTTTATCTATTTAGTGATTTTAACAAATAACGTAAACATCGAATCATGCGCTTCTCGTTAACAGTATTCGTAACCAACTGTTGTTTACTCTTCGTATAATACTAACGTCACTAAATACATTGAAAGCTATACTATTACCTATTACAGGAAATTACTAGTTATTTTTATACGTACATAAGAACAGTCGCAGTCGCTTATAAAACAAGATCGTTAAACCGAAGTGTTCGATTTTCCGCGGAACTAGTAACAAACATTTGATGTTTGAACATTAGAAAACAATTAAAAATTTGGAAATACACAAAATTTTCTTGTCCTCCTGAGAATTGCTACCTCACTCATTCAATACAAAGTAACATTTTTTATCTACACACACGGATGCCAGTAATAACTTCATCGCTTAGATAAAATTGATTAAATAGCATCAAATGTTATTATTACATTTAATAGTTTTCGTCAAATTGTATGCGGGTTTTAACATGTAGTCAACTATTATTTGAGCTTCATCCTATTGTGCATTATCGCAATTACATGTTATTACTAAAGTGTCATAAATGTTTGACAAATTACTGTATTTATAAAGTAAATTGTATTATAATCGCTAGGGGTTATTGCATGATAATCGCTAACACAACATAGATTTAATTGTCTTTATATCTATTTTTTTGAAAATGATAGTTCTTAACGTTATAGCAATGATGTCAATGACAACGCTTAGCCCTTTCTTCTATACCTGAATACATCAAATACCTGGTAATAATGTTGCCTGCACATAGACTATTTATGTGGCTATGAAGTTTTGATATATCAACAATTAAATAATACTATTTGTATTATAGTATAGTATATGTAGTCGCAACGGTATGTTTATTATGTAGTTTACCTTGAATAGAAATAGCTTAAGAAATAAGGTTCAACGACGCATAAGTGATTGATGTCATGAAACGGAAGTGTTACCATTAGCGAGCTTTGCTTGTCCGTTCTATAAAGGAATTTATCACAGTCTTTCACGAAATAGTAACAGTTAAAACCTGACGTTAAAGTTCATCTAACCTGATCATAAAACGATAATTTAGGAACAAATTAACATAAGTGATGACTCTTTTCTGTCTTCAGTTAAAAATTTGCCCATTTATGGCTAGAAAGTATAAATTATTATTATTGTTTATAAAGTAAGTGGAAAAAGTTCGACATTAAGTATAATATGCATTTAAATGTCACTCTTCAAAAATCTTTGAACCAATTATCATTTGGGTCTTTATCCGGAATAAGAAACCTAATAAGTATTAAAATATGATTTTTATCAATCAGAAAATTTAATATAAAAAACATCAGTTTATCAATTTATTTGTTATGTCAATGTGGCATGTACACCAAAACGAAAGATATATATCACCAAGTCCTTCACAGAAAGGTGCAACCCATGTACCAAAATACATCGCTTATAAAAATTGCTTTTTTAAATCTATATTTATTATCGTAAAAAAATAATTTAATAATTTTGAATCTTAAAATAAAATTTCATTAACTCTTATTATCTGCGGAATAAGGTTCTCCGGTATGGACTCATAGACGGATACCTAATCTTTGGGCAGTGTGCACTTACTTATTGCAATTTGCTATTGTTGTATGCGAAAAATTATGTTTTATATACATTTATAACAGCATCTAAATAATATATTTTTGATATCGTGACTTCTGAATTTATAATCACCTCGTAATACTTTCCACAATTATTTCACTCGTTTTAACTAATACAACATCTGCTAATATTTACTTTTACTATTAGGCTTAATAGAAGGCCGTGGACAATTCAAAATACAATAGAAATAACCTTATCTATGCGGGGACAGGGTGAATACGTAATATTGTTTATTTTTCAGTTATATATAGAATTTACTACGTTAATTTTCACGCATAATTGTGTAACTATGTCCGTATCCGTATACATAATAATGAAGCAATCAATCATTAAGAAATAAATGTTTATCGTTTGGTAAACAAAAATCCTCAGTTCAAAACGTATTTTAAGATGTTGTTGAACTACTAAATATAATCTGTTACTATAAATCGAACTAGGTTTTATATAGCGGAACTTATTAGCCTATACAAGAGTTATTATGTACCTGAACTTGACATTTGTTACAGTAATATGCATTTATGTGCCATAATAAAACATTACAGACATATTGAGGAATATTTTTATTCATTATAAAAAGATAAGAGTAATGTTATTGCATGTAATCCTAAATATTATCTATGTTAGTTAATTTATTAAGCAACAAAAAATAAATTAGCAAATAAATTAAAATAGTAATATGAATTTAAAAAATGCAAATCTTTGACATTTACATGATATTAATGTGAAAATTTACCTAATTTTCAACTCTGGAACTTTAAAATGTATCATAATAGATATTTTATATTTAATTTATAATATAGTTTCCAATGTGTGTGCATGTGCATACCATACTTACAAAATTTGGGCACAGTCAAGAAATCTAAATAAATTTTAGTAGGTAAGTAACTCAATGTATGAGCGTCAGGAAAAATAATGAAGGGCGTAGAACGAACGTGAAGAACTGGCAAGAAAATGTCTGTCGCTTTTTTTTTAAATCACCAAGGTTATTTTTTTGTAAGTAGTAACACTAAACATAATAACGTTATTAGGTACATAAATAATTATTGGAGTAGGTTCTAGAGCCCAACAAACATCTTAGATACCTAGGACATTCTAGAGATTCTTTAATAAATACTACCCAGAAATAGAAACTATCCGTATTAATGCATTATGAGTTTTTATAAACGGACTTCATGTTTATATAATGTATAAGCCATAAATAAGAGTTTCAAGTTTTATATACTAAAAATATGTTTATAAATGTAATTTTAAATTATAGGTAAAACCGATAAACTGTTACTGACATAATATGTATGTGTTTGTAGAAAGTAGAAAATCTTTTTAAAGAATTAGTTTAAATGATTTTTATTATAATGACTATCGTCACTAATTAGCATACATTGTGGTATCTGGCAATTTAGCTTTTTAAATCGCCTCCATGACTTATTGGTTAACGCACGAATACGAAGTTCCTGAATTTGTGATTCCCGGCAAAATGATAATTAGTTTTATATTGGCACATAAGGCGATTATCCTAATGATCATACACAATAATGTGTCTACCCCTAGTAGACTTTCAAATGACTTCAAAGTTTCAAACAGTTTCTCTAAGATCCACAAGTACAGGGAGATTCTACCATCTGTTTCATAAAATTATTACTTATTTAAGTCGTTTGTATCTTTTAATATTTGTATGTATTAATCACTTTGTGATAGATTAAATGATCTAATTGGTTTGCGTTCATGATACATTAAACAATATAATCATATGGCGCTGTAAATTATATAAAACAATTTAACATAGATTTTTCCTTTTTCACATAAGGAAACACAACTGATTTAAAAATACCATGACTTTTTTAACTTTGTTACAGCGGAAATTAATTAATATTAATATCTAATTTAAAAAATGCTTCTTTATTTTACACTTGGTTTAAGCTAAATTCGATATAAAATAATGAAAACGCAAACAGTCTGTTAGAGCACCTATATTTCGCTGGTGAAATTTTAGTATCTCTATCTTCACTGCATACCCAATTTTGTATACCATATAAAGCCTAATAACACTGTTTTAATATATTTCAGTTCAACCTCGGCTGTCAGGACTGGAAGCGATCTCTAGTAGGAACGGTCCACAATGCTGGCTTCTTCATATCCATACCTCTCACCGGTCTCCTCTCGGACAAATACGGAAGGCGTATCGCAGTCGTGTTCGCGAGCGTTGCAAACGGTGTTTTTGGCGTCATACGAGCATTCTCTCTGAACTATCAAATGTTTATTGTCCTGGAATTTTTGGAGCCAGCGCTGGGAGGGGGTGTTTATACTGCGTGTTTTGTTTTAGGTGAGTAATACACGAAACATTTAACATTAATGATATATTTGTGTAAAGATCCATTGAGTCTTTACATTTTACCGGGAAGAAGTTTACCTGCTACCTATAGAATAAATTAATCAAACGTAAAGTTTGTGAAGGGGGGGTACATTTTTTTAAATGGTATTTTAAATATATCAACCCACGTTATGGTTTATACATATAAAAATAACATTCTATGAACCAGCTTAATCAAACCAAAAGTCAAGGCTGTAAATGAACAATGTATGGTATGTGTACCTATTATACTGTTTTGATCTTTTCAACTGAACTGTAATAATTACTGACCTCGGAACATTTCCTATTATTTGTTCACTTAAGTTCCTATATGACATAGGAAATATAATTTGATTTATTTGCGCATGAACGAGTTTTAAACAAACCTTATACAATATCAGCTCTACGTTCATAAATTGTAATTTGTTTTGTATTTGAAACCTGTTATATATAGAATTTTGGTACATCCCTTCCGTGTAATCTTTAATCTATGTTATTGATACCTATTATATTGCTTTAAAATCAAGACACTTTGCTTATTTGGTTATTATAAGGCCGTAGACTTAGCGACAACTGGCAAGAAACTCTCTGCCTCTCTTCTTTATCAAGTCTTTGCGTTACAAGCAATTGCAATTTTGGGATACGAAACTTGATGGCTCTGTGCATGTTTTAATGTAATAACATCAAAACGGGCTTTGGGTACCGAACGCCCTTGTTGCTCTCAATGCTTCAATCATTACCCCATGCTTTACATACACAAATTGCTTCTTGTTTATTTATTTAATCATTTAAGTGGATTTCTTATATCGATCACCGAAACAATGGTCCCAATAAGCGATGATGATAAATCTTGGATTTATATATAATATATATGTAACATTTAAATTTAAGTCTTTCTTAAAAATATTATTTGAGGTAATCGAATAAAAATAATTAGCTAGCTAGAAGCTTTATTTTTAAAGTATATTTAATGTATAAAGTATTTGACGTAACAATACTAATTACAAACAAAACATTGAGGGAATAACAGTTGGTTAAAACAATTAACTTAACGTAGCTTGACAGTTAACACAATAACGATCTGTTTGAAGTGCTAACCTTCAGATATAGAAAATAAAACTAAATTAAAACACTATTTTCGATCACTTTTACCATTTTATACAATCTAGATAAATTGTACTTTTAACAATGAGTCACTTTGCGCTTTCCATTGTAACTGTGAAATCGATTTCTTACTTCGGTTTAATAATCGTCATCGTAAATTATACATGATTTATCATATTTCAAAACTTTAATAACAATAGTAAAATTATTTCCATGTATAGTTATTTCGTCATTAGAAATCTTTCGAAAAATATTTAATTGCTTACTGGTGTACTATGTTTTTTCACAATTACTATGACATGGATTTACTGTAGACATAAATACTTCTACGTCAGTTTTCGTAAGACGTACACAATTAACATGTACTAGTTAAATCCTGCCTTTTGTATTATACTATTAATACACTCGTTATTTAGTACTAAAAGTAGTAATTAATGATTGACAAACATAAATCGAACAACGATGACACCCTGTGGTCATCCACGGCCAATTACTAACCTTTACGCATGAACAGCCGAACTAATTACCCTTTTTGCGAATCTCCTTTTCCGTGTCTATGTCCCTGGGTAAGGTGTTATTTATTAATTTATTGATCGTATGCCAAAATATTGGAAAAGAATTTAATAATAAATACAGACTTCTAGTTTTTTCGATACACTTTAATAGAAACAATGCCTCCAACATGGTCACCAAATTTAAGCCTAGTTAATGTCCCAAACATGTTAAACTCTCGCTAATATAGTCAGTTCTTAAATTAGTTCAAAACCAAAATTTATTTTTGATTATTGGTTTGGTAACTATTTATGAACGTCTGTATTAGAAAAAAACTTTAGTCTCAATTTACATTTACTACTACTTTTCAAATCAGGGACATAGAACGGGCGAAAAGAGGCGAGGGAGCTTCTCACTTAGTTATTGTAAACAAAAACTTATATGAAATGTTTTCAATTGGTCTATTACCAGGGCATAAAAATATTATATTCGATCGTTTACTAGCAGTGTGTGGCTACTGGCTAGTGGATTCAGCGTGCGACTGAGGTCGTAGGTTCGAACCTCGGCTGTGCACCAATGGACTTTCTGTCAATGTGCGGATTTAATACTCGCTCGTATGGTGAAGAAAAACATAGTGAGAAAACCGGCATGTCTTAAAACCCAAAACCTCGACTTTGTGTGTCAGGCACGAAGACTGTTCGCCTAGGTACTTGCTTATTAGAAAAAATATATGATCACGAACCAGATACAGAAATCTGAGGCCCTGAGGACCTGCAAGGGTTGTAGCGCATCTGATTTCTTTTGAATATAAAAACCTAATTATTAATGTTTTTCTTTTCAGCTATGGAACTCGCAGGGCCTAAAGGAAGAGTATTCGTGAGCCTACTCTTCAATACAATGTTCATTCTTGGCGGAGTATCTGTGACGGCACTGTCCTGGTGGCTACAAAGTTGGAGACATCTTCTTCTCATAATCTACACTCCAGCTATTTTAGTCTTCTTCTACATATGGTCGCTTACCGAAAGTTTTCGTTGGTTCTTTAGTAAAGGACGTTACGAAGATGGCATCAACGTACTGAAAAGCTGTGAAAAGTTCAACAAAGTGTCTGTTCCGAAGGACCATTATGATCAAGTGGAAAAGCAGGCCATGCAACAACGGGATGCTGTGAAATTTGAATCCTTAGAAGCAAATTCGTCATCATTCAAACAAACGTTTTGCTCTGGTTTAATATGGAAAAGATTATTTATTTGCTCGTTCCTTTGGACATCTTCTACGCTGGTCTACTATGGTCTATCGATCAATGCGATAGAATTATCAGGGAATGCTTATATGAATTATATCGTCGTGATATTAATTGAGGCCCCAGCTAATGTATGCAAGTTATTTTGTTTAGATCGCTTCGGAAGAAAGAAAGTTATCGGAACAGCTTTCGTATTGACTGCAATTATTCTTATCGCTTATGGATTTATCCCAGGTATTATTATTATTATTTTTAATTAATTTAAACATGTGCACTTTTCGCATTTTCATAGTTAACAGATTATGTTCGCTTTTCTGCACTCTGGTCACTCTTTCAACTTTTGGTCACTTTTCATCACTTCTTAGAAATAAAGCTGCCAAACTTCAATGAATTGCAACTTTTATGTTCGTAAATGAGTTTTGTATTTATTTAGTACAAATTATAAATTCTTTACAACATTAATTAATACATATTAAGGATCTTGACAGTTACGAGTTAAGTGCGACTCCATCAAAAATGTATTAGATTTTGACATACAAGAGTCATAGTTCCCGCTTAGCCTCATCCTGAATCTCACCATAAATTAGATCTAGTGTGTTTAATTATTTTTAATTAAAAAATATATTTCTAGGTGGTTATTGGTCAATTACCTTCTATTTGGGTGGAAAGTTCTTTATCACACTCGCATACAATTCACTCTACATATTCGCAGCGGAAGTATTTCCCACAAATTATAGAACGACGTTATTGGCTATTTGTTCTACTCTCGGTAGAGTTGGCTCTACGCTTGCTCCCCAAACTCCATTATTGGTAAGTTTTAACATTGCATTATTTGCATGTCCAAAGTCCAAGTGCCTTATTATATATATATATATATAATATTATATATTATATTTTCGACTTTTGCATAACAAGTAGTTGCATAATGTATGCGTACACTTGTGTTTAAACTCGAAATAGAACAGTAACAGTTGCATAAACATTTTTTTTTCCACATTTTTCCTACTAAAAATTAAATCAAACTTTTTCAAATTTTCTTTTAATCTTTTATGTAGATAATAGAAAACGTATTTAATAAATAAACAGCGGTTTTTTTATTAATTTTCCCTAATAACACAACAATTCTCACAAAGGCTTGTCCGTTGTTGTTGATTTATAAAGTTCATATTAAAGTTAAACATATTTTTCTCTTTCAGTCAAAATTGTACGAGTTTCTGCCAACAATTCTCTTCGGGGTTATGTCAGCCCTATCCGGCCTTATTGTGATGACTCTACCAGAGACAAACAATCAGAAATTACCGGACTCTCTCAAAGAGGCTCGAGCGCAGGACCGAAAAAACACAAATGAAAAGACCACAGACAATAAAACGAGGCTATGATATTTTTTAAACTATTATCAGGGAATTAGTGCTGGGCTGTGAATAAGTTGTCGATAATTTGTTAGAAAACGTTGAGGTACAATAAATAATAATTTTGTAGCTGTAGTATTCTACAAATTGTATGTTATGTTTTTAGTTGTATATATAATATATCGTGTAATTTTACGTAATATTATTTAGTATAAAATAAAAAATATTGGTTTATTTAGATATCATTAAACATCTCAGTTGGTATTTAAGATATCACAAAAAGCTTCCAAAGCAAGCTAAATTTTTTACAGTATTATAGTAGACACATTTTATACATTCATTATGTAGCATGTACCATAATTACATACTTATGTATGTGTGAACGATCGATTAACGAATATTGCATTTTTATCTACGTTATAATCTTCTAAATTACCAAAATCCTAATCCAAATTTTGTGAAATGCAAGTCACGTATAATTTTAATTTAAAACGGTTTACACCAACTTAGGATATTAAATCTTTCGTTTCGTGTGAAATCGAGATCGCCGTAATTATTCGTGTAAACGTGACTCCATTTTATGGCACGTGACAAACTTGGAAATGAAAGAACCTTTATCTATTTATCGATACGATCAGACCATCACTAGTAGAATTTATTACTTATACAAGTGGATTTAAAATGTTAAATCAATCAAAATAAAATATAGTAACCTTTTCTTCTATCGAGTTTATAATAAATAGTATTAAACGCAAATATTTGTATGAAACACCTTTGGTTAAGTTTAAATTAAGATTTTAAATACAAACATTATATACACATAGCGATTATTACTTTAAACTAATGGTGAAGCTATTGTGTTTAGTTTTATAGTGAATTCCCTTTTTAATTACTAAAAATAAATAAAAATCATATTATTAATTTTTACAGTTTATTACATTATTATTGATGTAATATTACCAACTTTAATCACTTTTAATTACCAGTACTTATACATTCATATTCCTTATACTTTCTGCCAGTTTTAGAATGATAAGATTTTTTAATATTCAATGTATTAAAAATATGTAGCGAATTTTCTCATCATTTCATATTAAATGCCTATAAGTGAAATAAATTGTTTTGAGGTGTAAACCCTTTTTTGTAATCAGTTGTGGAAAAAATGTTAATTAATAATAATAACTTAAAACATATTGTTTTAATTTTTAGTATCATACACCCAGTATCACAATATAAAGCCAATATATATATATTATATAGTCCTTATCCCCCTTTATAAAGAACTTAACTCCTGGATTTTATAAACTTAGTGCTCGATTTTTAAGAGATTTATATTTTGCCTTCATAACACGAAAGATTAATACGAAAAAAGGGTTTGGTATAAAGGTCAAGCTTTTTCGGACAAAAACAATTTACAAGTTTTTGCTGTGACCGTGATCCCTCTTGGTAGAATATTTGAATACTTTATCCTCTAGGCCTCAAGCCTAATTTTTTAACACACTAATATTTCTTTCTATTTTTGTTCCTCTTTACCAAAAAAATTTCTGCACATTTTCGTTTTATAATTGGTTAATTAAAAGGAACCCTTGAATATAACCTTTAATTATACATTTAACTGAATGTATTTACCATACAAGTCGAAATTGTAACGTCGCAAATGCACCTTAATAATGCCACTAAATATAACATTCCTTATCAAACAACAGCAGTGCAATAATCATAAACGTGGTATTTGCATGCGAGTACAATTCGGCGAACTGCTATTAATTTCGGACGTGGATTTACCCCCGAAATGCATAATTCCACGCAGAATGCACTCGGGGTGCTTTAGGTGTCTTCAAACGATTTATGTCGCCATATTGGAGTGTTGACAGGCTGAGTGACGAACGACTTTAATATCGCAGTGATAATATGGGGATGATTTATGTAATGTATTATTTAATTAAATGAAAATTGGTGAAATATCCAATTAAAATAAACCATGTGTCCTACACACCTTAAATAAACTCGATACACTATTCAGTTAAATATTGCAATGGTTTTACGCAATGTCTTTGGCACTGAACACTGAACAGGCCAAAGTTGTGGTTTTTAATAGTAGTTCATGCAACTGTCATATAATAGGGGGTATTAAAACATGAGTGTAGTTCAAAATAAGATTACACGAGTGTTTTAATACCTAATTATATGCAGTTGCATTCACTACTTTATTTAATCTTATGGCTATAGGTTTCCAAGTCATAAAGTTTTAACATTTGTCGTACGCTTTTCTTGATTTTTCTGGCAAAAGAATATTCGTCGAGTTAAAACTTCATCGGTATCGTCGGTGTTGCTTGACACTTTTGCTACTAAAGTTTTATCCAACAAAATATTGCTCAAATTCGTATGTACGAAATAGCGCCAATGGAAAAAGTCTGTTATTGGTCTATTGGCCCGGAACCAGTGCGTTGCGCGCGAGCACATAATTGAATTGAAACCTCCTTGGTCGGGACACATTGTACTTTAATAATTAAAAAAATATTTTATTGTTTTGTTAGGAGAATAATGCTTTAATTTAATTTTTTTAAAGAAGTATGTATTTAAAATATGCCAATAAAAGTCTGTATTTCATTTCAAAATTAGAATATTTCCGAATGAGATTATATAAATATAATTTAACCCTGAATTTTAAAGGATATGCAAACTACACATTCAAAAATGCACTGAGCACCTTATGAGTTAAGATTTTGTTCATAGTCCCTTTATTTCACATCAGTGTCTAATTTTATGCTCTTAATAAGGCAAGATATCAGCGTTCTGTGTCTACAAAATCAAAACATTGCTACCTGGGCATCAAACCCATGTTTGATTATGCTAAGTACGTTAACTATGAAGCCACGGAGGCTGTCACAAAGACAACTTGTTCCCATTGTGTTATACCTATACTTGAAATTTATTCTTATACTACTTCACAAAAAATTAAATAAAAACATTTAAAACTTATCAATCAACATAGAAAATTAAACAACAACATACCTATATTGGAAATAAACATACATACATACTTCCAAATAGTAATACATAATCATTAATTATAATATTAAAATACACTCATACACCCTGTATTCAAATAAGATTGGTAGTAGTTGCTTGCCTACCTGTTGTGTATCAATGTTTTGATGGGTTTAGATATTAATGTACTCTCTTAGTATGCACAATTTAATGTTATCATGTTATATTATATAATGTCTATTTAAATTATAATTTAACTTTAAGTATAAAATTTATTATATAGTGGTGGACAAAAAAACCTATTTCTAGTTTATATTTTCACCGCACCATTATAAACTTATGTATATAATAATCAATGAAATGGTGTATGATATATTTTTCATGTGTTTTTAGGATCCATCATAAAAGAAATACATTATCAAATTACTTATTTATTACATTGTTTTAACTATCATCAAAAACAGTTTTCTTACCTTGGAAAGGTAATATTGATGAATGTTTTTTCTTTGCTTCCCATGATGGATGTAATTTCTCTGGTTTTTCTTCAATTTTATTACTTTCATTAACAGTATTATTAAATGATTTACCTTTTCTGTTAAATTGACTGTCACTTGTGCTATTAAAACTATTTTGCTTAAATTTAGAATTGTTTTGATTGAACTTTTCATAATTATTCTTTTTCGGTTTAATTTTAGGAACATGTCCAAACATAATCGCTCTTCTATATTGTCTATTCCCTTGCTTATGTGCTTCCTTAATTTCATCTGGTGCTCTGGGCTCAGCAAGAGATAAATAGTTATCTCCGGTTGAGGTTACAAAGAAGGGATCAACCACTTTAACTATTTCTGGCATATCTTCAGTTTTTTTCTTAAAATTCCTATTTAAAATCTTCTCATTGATATTTTTATTTTTATTCTCCTTTCGTTTATCTACCTTCTCAATTTTAATATCTAATTTTGGATTTCTACCTTGTGCTTTTGGGGTAGTTTTTTCTTGGATTACATTTTTTCCTTTAATTAAATAATTTTTTTGAGGACTCTGAATACTATCTTCATCCAGTGGAAGTCCGATAAACTTCCCTACATCATTATTTACATCCATTTTGCCATCATCACTATCATTATTGTTCGAGCTATGGGTGTGAGAAACACCTTCTTCAAATATTAGATTAGGCTCACTAGATATATTTTCAATTTCACTAATATCGGAATCATCAGGTGGAGCTCTGATAAACTTCCCTACATCATTATTTAAATCCATTTTGGCATCATCACTTAGATAAGGCTCACTAGAAATATTTTTATTTCCACAAATTTCAGAATCATCACTACTATCATGTTCTGAAGCTTTGTCTATACAATCATTCATTATTTCTACATCCAAACTTGGTTGAATCCAGTTGGAGGCATCATTGACTTCCATTTCTTTTTCTACTTTGGTTTCTTTATTTATTTTAGCTTTTCTTTTTTCATTTTGTTTATCTCTCAAATCTTTTTTAAGCTTCTTACGTTCTTGTCTTGACATCAGCAAATCATCAATAGAAAGATTTCCAAATCTTTCTCTTATCATTTTATACTTTTCTTGTAAAGCTTTATGTAATAGAAGTCTAGCACATGCTTTGTTTTGATCAACATCTGATTTGTTAAGATAGTCACTGAGTTTGCCTGAATGAGTTAAAGTAAATCTTGCAATGTCTCGAGGCTTAAGTTTCTATAATGTAATATTTCAGTTAATTCAAAATCTTTAACCAAACATATAAATACTAAACTAATAAAAAGAAATGAAAAATGTTAAAGGTATAGTTTATATCTAACTCTATAATATATATAGAGTATAATATTATGTTTATGGAATTACAATAAATAAGTAAATTTTTAATTCAAACTAGTCCAATAATATGTAAATAAGGTAACATTAGGTCCAATAATTATGTAAATAAGAAATAAGTATAACTAGTGCTATACATAATCAATTGTAAACATTGAATACCTTTATTATTAAGACTTCATTTACAGCTGATTTTGCCTTCCGTTCAAGTTTTACTTTTATAGCTTCTGGAATTTTTCTTTCTGTAAAAGTTTTCGCTTTCCTGGTTAACTTATGAATAGTTTGAATTTTTGCTTGATTTAAATTCTTCTTTAAATTAATAACCTGTAAATTAATTAATAAAATCAATAATCTCTTAAGTAAGACGAATAAAATAAATAAAATTAATCAGACCTCATTATTAAAGGCCTGTTTCACTGCCCCAACTTCCATTGTTTCGTTTTTAATTAAAATTAAACATTTATGATACAACTTAACTAAGAAAGATACCTTGACAGTTTAAGGTTATCTTAATAAATTTCGAGTTATCCAGAATCGACAACTACTAATGTAAGAACTTAGAAGCCAGTCTCGACTAAATGTAAAAGCTAAAATTGCTATTGCTACGCCCTCTCGAATTCAACGCCTGTACTAAAACCACCGATTTATATTTATTTTGAATTAATTTGCAATTATTTTTGAAAAGATATACAATACTAAAGTAAATGAAGATAATCATACATCAAACATATAAATAATAGAAATCGATACTGATATTAAGATTTATTAAATATGTATCATCGGAAATTGAAAACCACAAAGCATGGAGAAGGAAATAATTATACTATTTTCTACAAAGCCACAGAATACAACTTTGACAGTTGACAGCTGTTAGAAATCGATGCCACAATATTAACAAACGATTTGTCAAATGTCAACTTAAATAAAAATATCCTTTTCGATTATTTTGTCAAAGAGTCAAGTATGTTTCGATATTTTATATTCTTAAATATCTTTAAAATCGTTTGATGCTTTGTATGAAATTAAGTGAATTTGATGTCTATAATTTATAAATGTGTAGTGAATATTAATATCGTTGCATAAAATCATAATATATTCGATTATTTCAGCATGGCTCCGAGGTTTGAAATCGCGGTTGGTCTTAAAAAAGGCCACAAAACAACAAAGATTTCCGGTGGAAAGAAAGGAATCACAGACAAAGCAATTAGAATTAGACCTGCTAGGCTAAAGGGTGTAAGTATTATATTGTATAAGTAAATGCTTTGTTGTATTCTAAAATGAAACTGTTTCTAGATTCCTATTTACCTGAGTTCAACTCCTTTTAACATTCCTATATTTTCATTTTTTTGCTACAGAAATGTATATTTTAGTTAAACAAGCTCTCAATAGTAAATAGGACTGTAAATATGTTATTGTAAAGCATTGCAGTTGCAATGGCCTTTTTTGGCATGTTTTAATAATAAATATTACAACGATTAGTATTATAAATTATACTAAACTGAAGTAGATTTTGCTTAATTTCGCTAGTTTTAACAACAGTTACAATATTATTATTCACTATTATACATCTAATTGAATCTTTTTCAAAAGCAAATAAATGTACAGTTACACACTAAGTTATTAGTAGAGGATTAGACCATTACACTCTATATTAATAAATTATAATAAAATTACTTTTAATTTTCAGCTCCAGACAAAGCACTCCAAATTTGTAAGGGATTTGGTACGTGAAGTGGTTGGTCATGCTCCTTATGAAAAGAGAGTAATGGAATTGCTTAAGGTATATATTTAATAGTAATAATCAATTATTGTTGTATACACACAGTAGTAAAATAAATGTATTCTTATACAAAATTCTGCATTTTAACCTAGGAAAAAAATCTTAGTCTAGATATAAGCATTTATTGATATCTCCCATAAATTAAAAATTAACATGTACAACATTTTCAACTGTCACATTTTTCAATAATATGTGACAGCAAAAGTACTAAAACCAGTCCTCAAAAAACAATTGTGAAGCTGTTTGCATTTGATTAAATTTATTTTTAATCATGTAATGGGATGACAATTCATTTTACTTGTTTATGCATGAAATTTTGGATATAAGCTGTAAATTAGGGATAAAAAAATATTGTTGTGTTCTTGACCTTCATGCAATTTTGTCTAGGAGGAGAAAAAATTGAGATTGTTAAATATATTTAATTTATTGGTATAAGCAAACTTATACTCTATCATTATATAAATAAAATAATATATTTTTAAATGATGATAAACAGCTTTCTCTTTTAATTAGCAGATATACATACTCATAAAACTAATCCCATGTTATTAATGAAATGTGATTATCATAAACACAACTAAACTGTTTTCCTAGTTTGTAACTAACTAGTTAATTTTTTTTCAATAAATAGGTAACATAAATAAATAAATGATATATCTAATTAAACAATAAGATAAATAAATTTTACCTGAAACATCATACCTGTCATATATATTTTGTTAGCTATTATTTAGAATAACCCTATTTATATATATGTAATTTATATTGTATTTTCTAGGTTTCAAAAGATAAGCGGGCCCTTAAGTTCTTAAAGAGACGCCTAGGCACGCACATCCGCGCCAAGAGGAAGCGTGAAGAAATGAGCAACGTTCTTGTACAAATGAGGAAGGCGGCCCACCACGCTCATTAATAAATAATAATACGCTTTATATGCTTTTTATTGATAGGTTGTTCTTCAGTCTTGCTCTTAAAATAATTAGGGTTATTTTTATTCTTTATTGATTTATGTTATGGAATTGAAGAGGAATTAACCTGTAATAATTTAGACAGCTGGGAAGGTTAACCTAGCCTTCTAAAATTAAAGAATAATGATTCTTATCTTACTGTATATCTACATTTTTATTCTTGCCAACTTTTGTCAAGCGGAAACACTTGTCTGTAGGTTTAGTAGGTTAGGTAGCAGAAAATATTCACGTAAAATCGAGAAACCAAGTTGAATTAAATGAAACCGTGAATCTATTTGTGGGCTTGCTAATATAATCGCAAATATCTTAGTTAACCAGCGCCATAATTTTTATGTATTCTGTTCATATAGAACATTCCTTATAAATTGTCTGTGTTCTGCAGTTAAGTCTGTAGTGTAGTCTCAACTAAGACATTGTCTTTGGCCTAAAGGTCTAGATACCAGGCCATAAACTCCAAAAAAAAAGACATTGTCTATATATTTTGCCGACTGTACTTCAGTGTGGCAAACATATAAAAAATTGATATATAAAAAGCAAAATTAATGTAGTAAAGGGCTATACTACACATACATGGGTTATTTACAAATCTTCGACTACCAAATACAGTTTTTCAAGTGTTATGCGTGGGACATCACCCCACATTTTGGGACTAATTGATCTGATTACTGGTCTTAACCAGTTTTATATGATATAACTGTATTTTAGACTCTCATTTAAATTGTTTGGGGGTAGTTAGGTCAGATAAGCTTCGCATCGGTAACCGTGAACCGAAACCTTAAAAAATTTCATTGCTATTCGGTATCGATGTCCATTGCATTAGCATTTTACTTAATATTTATCCTTCGGGATTTTGTAATTTAACTAAGCGAGAAAAAAACACGACTCTCGTCGTCTATATCGATATCGTTTACGCGTTTTCATATGCACAGCCTTCACCGTCACTTGAACGATGAGAGATATTATGTGTATGTGTTGCGCTTATCATCAAAATGGCACGTAGCTTGTATTGTTGTTGTTCAGTTTTTATTAAATAGAAGCAGCTGCAAACCATATTTCTAAATAAAATACTTTCGAAATGTCAGAGGGACATTTATTCACGGTTGAAGTTGTTTTTGTCAGATAACGATTGGGATTTTTTATTCTTAAATTTGGCATCACTGAAAATCAGCTGTTGAAGAGGTCAAGTCGATTTTGTTACATTTCAATCCAGTGATTTGAAGTTTATTCGGTAGGTAATTCTTAAGAGTGTTCATTATTGAATTTGATGTTAAATTATATTACAAAATTATTAATTAATCATAAGTTAACAACGTTTGACGACTGAAGTATTTACAGTTCATTAAAGCACTAAAGGTCATAGCAAGGTCAATTAAGGTTGCCTCTAAGTTCAAACTTAGAATATATTATATTAATATTCACTTGCTTCTTATCTAAGACCCTTAAATTTTAAAATGTGAAACTTATTTTAATCCATTATCTTACGGATTTCTTTGTCGTTTTCCAGGTAAAATAACACAATTGATACTCATCAATAATGGGCCGCAAGTTTGTTGTTGGAGGTAACTGGAAAATGAATGGTGACAAAAATCAAATAAATGAAATCATTAATAACTTAAAAAAAGGTCCCCTTGACCCAAATGCGGAGGTGATTATTGGTGTTCCCGCTATCTACTTGGCATATGTAAAAAGTATTGCCCCTGATAACATTTCCGTTGCTGCTCAGAACTGTTGGAAGGTTGCTAAAGGAGCATTTACAGGTGAAATATCCCCTGCTATGATCAAGGATGTTGGTGCCACTTGGGTTATCTTAGGGCATTCTGAGAGAAGAACAATTTTTGGTGAAAAAGATGACCTAGTTGCTGAGAAGGTTGCACATGCTCTTGAGTGTGGGCTTAAAGTAATTGCATGCATTGGTGAGACTTTGGAAGAAAGAGAAGCAGGCAAAACGGAGGAGGTAGTCTTTCGTCAAACCAAGGCATTGCTTCCTGCTATAGGAAATAACTGGGATAAGGTAGTTTTGGCTTATGAACCAGTATGGGCAATTGGTACTGGAAAAACAGCAACACCAGCACAAGCACAAGATGTGCATGCTTCATTACGAGACTGGATTTTAAAGAATGTGTCTTCTGACATAGCCCAGGCTGTGCGTATTCAGTATGGGGGTTCTGTGACTGGAGCCACTTGCAAGGAGCTTGGTGCTTGCCCAGACATTGATGGATTTCTTGTTGGTGGAGCTAGCTTGAAGCCAGAATTTGTTGATATTGTCAATGCTACTGCATAAGTTTATTAATGATGGATATGACATGATACAGTGAAAACAAATGTTTTGAAGTCATGCCATATCTATTATTTGGTTTTAGAGATTAAAGATTTTTGTGTAAGCACAATGATAAAATGTTTTATTATATAGAGACAGAGTCATTAATTGTAATCTACAGCTGATTGTGTGTATGAACTATTCAAGTGAAACAATTTTGTTAAAAATTATTTTGTATATAAGTTTAATTTTGTTTAAATTATTTATCAGCATAATAAATTTTTTATATAACATGTTTCTTCTTATTGTGATAATTTTCATTGTGTGTTATAAAATTTAAAGTTCAAGAAAATTGTCTAATGTCTGGGCGCATGGTAGCATATGGGCGTGGCCTTGGGGGTAGCGCAAGTCGTTGAGATCCCCAAGTTTGTTGGACTAGCCTTGCCGAGGTTTGCCGACCCTGTTCCTTTGCTTTTAATATGTTTATGTCGGCGGTGTCGCAAAACAAAACACAGTGCGTTTTTGGTTTTAACGTTTTCGTTCTGGAAATTTTGACCTGCAGAACAAGCCCCGTGGACGGTCGGAAACCAAAGTTGATAACGAAGAATTGAACGCTATTATGGAAGCGGATCCATCGCAAACAACGTCTGAGTTAGTTGCAGGCTGCGCTGTTAGTGATAAAACTATTAATCCACTTGAAGAAAATTGGGAAGGTGAAAAAGCTTGAAAGGTAGGTACCTCACGAATTGAGTGAAGCAAATTGACAAACGCGCGTCGAGTATTCGTTACATTAATCAGCCGGCATGAAGGGATTTTAAATCGAATCATTACTTGTGATGAAAAGTGGATCCTGTACGATAATCCGTAGCGCTCATCGCAATAGCTGAAATGGCAAACCCAGGCGAACCACCCAAATCGTGCCCAAAGCGGAAATTGACTTCTTCACTATTGACATTTTGACTTTCTTAAATCTGGCCAGACGATTACGGGAGATGTCTATTGTCAGCAACTGCAAAACATCTAAACAACCAAGGCTGGTCAATCGCTGCTGCTTCACGACAACGCTAGATCTCTAAGACTTAGACATTCCAATTGAAAAGAAATTTGGATAACTTTTTGCAAGGTAAAAAATTCAACTCTGATGTGACAGTCGAAACCGCCCTTTTAAGATTTTATAATATAAAGATTCCCGCCCGAATGGTTATTTTAGTAAAGAGATCAATGTACTACCTATAAGATGGCAAAGTGCATAGATAGCATTGTTACATACTTTTATTGATTAAATATATTCTATTTAAAAAAATATACTTTTTATAATATATATATAAACTAGTGGACCCCTCACCCCACAGACGTTGTCCTGCATGATATTTAAAGCGATTAGGATATTAAGCAAAGTATGAAAGTACCGACTGCAGTGCCATCTGCCGGGTTGATTTGTGAATCTAAACCATTCCCAGATCCCCTTGAACACACACAAAAAATTTCACCAAAATCGGTCCAGTCGTTTGAGAGAAGAAAAAAAAAAAAAAAATTTTTTTTTTAAATTAACAAAATTTTGAACTCAAAAAAAAATATAAGGGTAGTTTCGTGTAAGAAAAAGGGGGAAAAAACCATAAAAAAATAAAGAGCATACACACTCACAGAAGAATTATATATATAAAGATAGGTATACAAAACCCCCATTTCATACGGAGGACCGAATATTATGTCTAGTATTAGTTAACACACATTAATACTTCCCAGCACAAACCATGTGACTTTTGGATCATGCTATGCTATGAGGTTGCACAAATATTGAACTAGTTAACGATGAATGTATGTAAAAGTAAAAATCAACTCTCGTATATGGCCTGACCTGAATTCGAAAATCATGTCTCGTAATATAGCTAGATCGTTTAAATATTTAAATTTAATTTAAAAAGTTATATTAATTATAAAGGGAACTCGTGGGTGTTTGGCAAGTCAGGATTTTTGAAATAGATCTTTGGAACACACTCCCGATTCCCTTCTTCCTGACATTTTAAAGATCTGACTACATCCATTATCTATCGTTAGAATGCTGTTTATATAGTTCACGTATTTTTTATTCACTACATTGTGAGAAGTTGCCTCGCCAATAAAGGTTAATAAGTCCGCCCATGGCACTCGGGCTTTATAGTGATCTATTTTATATTATTCATTGTTTTCTTGAGTACATACATAATTTTTTAAGTAAAATGATCATCGTAAAAATAAAACATTCCAGTATTTAAGTACCTACCTATCTATATTGTAATGTTACTATTCGTGTAAAGAACTTGTTAGTTAATTATACTTTAAACGACGTCATTAGAAATCGACATCCTTTCAATGCACGATAAATATTTTTTATCATGCATTGAAAGCTATTGTATGTATAATAGTAGCATATTTTTCTAGGCTGAAGTCTGGGAGGTTCTTCGAGAAAACTTTTAAAGATGACAAGGTGAACGAACTATAATATAAGTTTGGATAAAATATGAGTCCAAGTCCACTAGGTCATTTCAGTCGCCAGCATCTTTTTTTTATATACTCAAACGAGCCTGCAGAGGGGCCAAATAGGGCAGTCATCGCAGCTCATAGACACCCATTTTTAGTTCGTGCGTTGCCGGCCTCTGAACGAGAAGTACACTCGAATTTTAAACAGTTTGAGATCGTATCTCTATTCTCTCAGGGAAGACCCCCACCGGGAGTCAATTCCACAGTTCGCTTAAGAAAATGCCTTGTGAAACGGACTGTGGAAGACTTCCAGCCATCAAGGTGATGTTGATGAAATATTGAATTCATACGGCTTTGAAACGAGGCAGGAGTGATCAACCCAAACAATTCTTCAGAACACTCACCGTATTACACTTTATAGAAAACGCAAAGAGACGAAATGTTTCTGCGTAGAGAGAGAGAATCACGATCGGCATGATTCTCAGTAAAATATTGGAGATTGACAATTCAACAAGCCCTTCGCTGAATTTGGGAGCACCAGCCCAGAGATGTGAGCAGTGTTCCATATGAGGTCGTACTGGAGCCTTGTAGAGCTGCATACGTTGTACCTCAGTGAAATACTGCTTAGCACTACCCAAAACACGCATCTTTTGGGAAGCCAGTTTGGCTTTTTCTTCCAGGTGACTGCGGAATTGGACTTATTTCGAAATGCCAACCCCAAGCATACTGAGGCTGTGTGACGTACTGAGGAGGGCGCCTTCAAATTGAGGAGACACGACAGAAGGATCTTTCTTGGCAGAAAACAAACAAACCTGAGTCTTTGTCCTGGGTCATAGAATTCCAATTTCCATGCACGTTGAGAATGGTGAAAGATATTTTTCCGATGCTATACCACTGGTTCACGTAGGCAGCGTAACAATATTTTCAATAATAAAATGAATGTTATATCATTACTTAAGTGTAATGATGTCTTACCTATGTAGAAAATTACACAAAATACCCATAAAAACGTATATAAAGACGACGACTCGAAGACGCATACGTATTACGTAGCAATGCTAAGGTCACTAAGCCCGAACGATGAAAAGTTTAAGCATGGTCCGGGTTCTAGCCGTATCCGTGCCTGAAACGTCCATAGCATGCTCATTGTACTTGACAATGTAGTGCTAATCTGGCGTACTTCAAATTACATCAACCAATTATTATATCCACCAAATAGATAAGTACTTATTAAAATTCAAAAGTACACCTTACACAATATGTAAACACTAACACCTAAAATAACTGCGTACACCTGTATAAATATACAAAGGGTTACGGGGGGAGATCTACAGTAACAAAAGTTAAAGGCCGGCAACACACTCGCGAGCCCTCTGGCATTGAGTGTCCATGGGCGGCGGCATCACATAACATCAGATGAGCCTCCTGCCTGTTTGCCCCCTGTTCTATACAAAAAAACAGCTCCTTTCACTTGCCCATAAATAAGTCGAATCATCGACAACCAGTAACTTTTTGATCTGCTTGATCTCTTTGCGTAGAGATGTGGGGTAACTCTGCATCTTCTACCGCATTCACCACGGAGCTGAGTTTCATCATCGGACGTCATCGACGGATGATCATAGATCTGAAGCCGAAATGTCTGCCCTATGCTCCATCTGTAGGGGACTTACAAAAAAGTAAGACAACAACCTACTTACCAGTAAAGTTTAAATTTATTAATTATAATTATGAATAGGATGACGTAACTTTAAACATCAATGGCCTTGCTATTGCTATAATATCACTACCGCATTCAACTTGGGCGCCTCAATTTTGATTACAAGCAATTTTATTGTAACCTTGTGAAGTAGTTATAGACAGCTGCGTTGTATATTTATCACTAGGACAGACTAAAAAAAGCAACAACAATTTTACTATTTAATTCTTCAATCCATGAAGTTGTTGCTTTGATTGATATAACGAAAGAGAAATAATATTTCTTGGTAATCATATTATTGAAACATTTGCTTCAATAGGGTAACGTTAAACGTACAAATACAAACATACACTTTGCATCATTTGATACCGACCTCGGGTCAAGTAAACTGATATCACTATGATGAAACTGATATGTTGACGAAAATACATTAAAATGTTTACACAGTAGGTATCTACGTATGCTAACGATAAAACAATATATTCAGATTATTACATTTACGACTAAATCTGGAACTATGTTAAATATATGTTCAAAATAACGAATCTACGTAATATTTGAGACGAATATACACTAAAATACATTTTCTGTAATTATTTGAAATAACCTTTTTTTTATAAAAGCACAACAAAAATTAAAGAACACAGCGAAATCCTGTTCTTAGACAGACTACCTATTTACTCACTAAACGCCTACAAGTTGTGGGTACGACACGATTTGTTTAAAGTACTAATATTATGAAGTTTATATATAGAAGTGATATTTTTAATCAGTTACTTCACTATTTAGTTTTTTTTTCAACTTCAATGGCATTCAAAAGTCAAAATGATCATGTTAAATTGAACTAAATATTGATCAATGCCTAAATTGTCTACGAAATTCATACTATCAATCTCATTGACAGGCAACTAATTTAATAAAACTTAAATTTCAGAAATTCCTGTTTTTATTCATTCTGTACTTATAATATAAAGTTAAACTTGCAACATAAATTGTATGCTTTGACCTTCTTAATATGCTACATAGATATATTACTACAACTGAATAAAATACAACATCAGTTAAAGAATTTTCTTTTGGAAGATTTATTTGCTTAAAAATAATTGTTAAAACTAAACATCCATAGGTGTAGTCATAGCTTACAAAGTTTCAGGCAACAAGCCCTTTATTATAACTCATACTTACTAGTTCATTTTTATCGAAAGCTTTACTATAAAGTTGTGGAAATTGGCAAAATTAAATCAATTTTACAACAATAACCCTGGAATTCTACACCTATGTTAACACAATTAAATTATCACTAAATTACAAACCAAAGTTATAATTAAGTTTGGCAGAATCAACATGAAACTTATTAAACTAAAATATAAAATGTTTACAATATCATTTGAACTATGAAATAGTTTTAATAACAATACATGTTTTTTTTAGATATTTTATACTATTTCGTAAAATGAACAGCCAGAAATTTGTCCAAAAATCTTCTTGAAATGAATATAAAATTTAATCAAAAGTATAAAATGGCTGTATCCAATATCACAATATTCATATGAAAATACAAATTATGTATGCTATATTAAATTTTGTATGCAGAGCTAAGATTACCATGACACATACACTTTCTTTACTTTAAATGAGATTACAACTAAAACAGTAGTTTTAAAGTCTAAGCCTAATGTAGTGATTTTTACTAGGGTTATAGCAATAGCAAATATCCTGATATTTCTTGAAAGGATTAGTAATATTAGTTACAAATTCTTTTTAATTGGTCTATTTGCTAACAGGGTCAACAGTAAATGAGTTAGCTAAATGCCATTTTTTACCAGTGAAATACATTAATTCAAGTAGGTTTTGTATCTAAACAAGTTTGATGTTAACCTTCTAAATATATACTTTAAATAGTAAATAGTAATTTATACCTACAAAATGTCAGTAGAAATATACTATAGATAAAGTGATATGAAAGTGTGTCAGCATTTTTGTCATTGCTATAATTTGATAAGTGACATAAAACCAGATTTTCCGAATTTGATTGTGGACAAAAGCACAATTTAAAATACTTAGTATACATCAAACTTATTGATGTTAATCACCTTAAATATAATATGGGGAAAAGAAAAGTAAACTAATATGGAACATTTGAGAAGAGATAAGACACAGATTCTCCATTATGTGTGCGACGGACAGCCTCTGCTAGCATCATAGATACATCAATACACTGAATTTTTGGACAGTCTTGCATATGCCTCTCTTGGGGTATAGTGTTTGTGACAACAACTGCTTCTAAGCAAGCATTATTAATTCTTGAAATTGCAGGTCCAGAGAATATTCCATGAGTTAAAATTGCATACACTTTAATGGCGCCGGCCTCAATTAACTTCTCAGCAGCATGGCAAATAGTACCACAAGTATCAGCCATATCATCCACTAAGATAGCAATGCGGTCTTTAACATCACCTACCAGTACCATTGAAGCTACCTCATTAGCTTTTTTTCTCTCCTTATGAATAAGAGCAAACTCCACATTCAGACGGTCAGCAATAGAGGTCACTCTTTTAGCACCACCAGCATCAGGCGATACTACAATACTCGTCTTCCAGTCAGGAATATTCTCCTTTATCCACTTCAGTACAGCAGGTTCCGCAAATAGGTTATCAACAGGTATGTCAAAGAATCCTTGAATTTGGGATGCATGGAGATCCATTGTTATGATATGATCAGCACCAGACACAGACAAAATATTGGCGACAAGTTTAGCGGTAATAGGAGCTCGGCTTTTATCCTTTTTATCTTGCCTTGCATAGGGAAAGCAGGGAATAACGGCTGTAACGCGAGAAGCAGACGCAATTTTACACGCATTAATCATAATCAACAACTCCATAAGATTATCATTAATTTCACCACTTCCACTTTGCACAATATACACATCTTCGCCACGAACCGACTCGCCGATTTCAACACATGTTTCCATGTTGCTGAATTTTTTGGTTACTACTTTGCCCAAATCGATTCCTAATCGATCCACAATTTTTTGGGCTAAGTCTTGATGAGAGCTACCACTGAAAACCTTGATGTTCGGCATCCTGGTTGCTAATGGTGAAGGAAGATTATCTAATGTATTTACTACTTCTTCTAGCGTTATAGTAGATTTCATCAGCGCCGGAGACAAATGACCGTCGCTGGCTGTGACTGCGACGGGAATAAACTTGTCAACTATTTTATGCGAGGCTAATTTATGATAAGAAACTTTAATAATAACACGCCACGCGGATGTCTCGCGCTCAGCGTCAGGACTCAGGAGGTAGATAATATACAAATACCGAATACGCTTGCGGCTTGACACCTTCACACTTTATGCTTGCACGCACGTTTTTAATGAATGGTCACAGATCAAATAAATGTAAAATGAATGAAAAAAAACTTTCATATAATGTTTTTACTTTTTAGACAGTAGTACTAAATAGTTAATAGTCTGAAGACGACCACAGACTACTACTGCAATCGTACACAAATAATAACTTGCTTATAAATTAATAATATTTTCGAAAGTGAAACAATATAATATATGTCGCAGTAAAGTAGTTAAATCAGTAAGTTAATTGAATCGCTAGACAGTTAATTAAAGATCGATATTCAATTAAGTCGCTAGCGTTTTCATTTAAATAAAGCAGCGTCGAAATCGTTTAACTATCTGTCTGACCGAAAGCCAGCGTGTTGATTAATAATGTAAAACAAGATGGCGGTCAAGACAACAGCTGGTTTCTTTTAGAGTCTTTCTTTAGGCAAACATTGGTTTGTTGTGCTAGTGGGTTTTGTTTCAAATTGTGGTCTTTGGTGAAATTGTAAACATGTTTACAACTTCAGTGTGATCGTGAGAGCTTGAAAATTCCGTGTTTTGTTTTATTGTAAATGGTTAGGTTGGGCTAGGTTTGTAATAATTGTAATTGTGTTAGTAAGCATATTTTTCATTTGTATAGTTGATTTTAATTTTGTTGTTGAAGATATATTGTATGCCTTGTCTCGCCCATACAATTTTTGTGGAAAAGGTCAAGCTAGTATCTAGTTTATACTTAGGTAGAGCAATAATACTTAACATGCCATTAATAAAGGTAAAACGAACTAAACAAATGTTCCAAATATCTGCAGCAGAGCAGGTTTTATTTTTTTTAATTAATGAAATATAAAACGGAAAAATTTGTACGATAATATATATAGGAAAATATATAAATATATATATTTTTTTCCAATCAAATATCACCACCAAAGTCACCCTACCAAAGTTGAAATGCATTTTGTTGTCTAGGAACGTTTAGGAAACTCGTTAAACGTTTCATTCAGTCACTTGTCTGACGGAAATTTAGCGACTTGATTGAATATCGATATTTAATGAAATGTCTAGAGATTCAATTAACTCTTTGATTTGACTACTTTACTGCGACATATATAATAAAATACTAAAGTGTCCAAATAGAGCATTGGCTGTCGAGCTACAGTAAGTATCATCAGACGTTGATGCGGTACGTTGAATGCAAAATTCGTATACAATGATTATATATTTATTATTATTATATTATTATTATATTATTTATTTTATATTTGGTGCGTTCCACTAAGCGCTCACGACGATCACGCTCACGACCGCTGATTTACCCATTCCACTTGATTGTGAATGTTACTGTCGTTAACTCAAGTGGAATGGATTATGGAGCGTTTCGGGCGTTCATGTAAATATTACAAATGTCAAGTTTGAAAATAGTAGAATTTTAAGGAGGTTAGGTAATCATAAACAATAAGTTTTGATATTTGTGACTTAAATTTATTTATGTTAAAAGTGAAGAATAATTGAATATTTTATAAATAATTTTGGTGAAGTTATCAAACAACTTAAGTTTAAATATAATCGAAATGGCTTTACAATTTCTCTTTCTGAATCAAATAATGTGATTTTTCTTGTCGCCATCTTTAAGCTTTGAATATAATAATATTATTATTTGTCATATTTCAAAAATTGCGCCAAATTATTCTCAACGTTCACAACGACCCACCTCTTTAGATGGGTCGTTGTGAGCGTTGCGTGAGCATTTGTCATGACGTCATGAGTGACGTTTTCGCCGTGACCACAACGACCGCGGTCGGTATGTGGAATGGCTAAAGGAGCATTTTGATCGTCGTGAGCGCTTAGTGGAACGCACCAAATTATTACAGTGGTGCTGTGATTCGTTTATACTCTTTGGTGGTCTGTGGAGATTGCGCGGATTGCATTTGCACGTCTGCGGTCTACCGTCTACGGTTGTAACTTAGATTATTGAAGTTTTGAACTTACATGAGTTACAAGTTACATACTAACTACTAAGTTGTGAGGCATAAATAATGTGATAGTTTGTAATTCTATAATTATATTTTATTCTTAAGATTATAATATAATAAATAAATGTAGATAAAGGTCGATGTAAGAATTATGTATTGTTTAGAGCTCTGTTAGCGTTCAAATGGTCATATACTTCTAGTTTTCTCTTATTATACTAATAATTTCGCGCCACCAATCCCCAATATTTCAATTATTACGAACGAAAGTCAAATATTTCTCTCCCTTTCGGTTTAAGGTATGGTTTTGGATTAATAGAATAGCTTCTTCAGCAAAGTGAAGGCATTATGGAAATAGATATGCATATTAAAATATATACGTTAATAACCAACCTTTTATAAAACTAATTTCGTTTCAGATAAGGCAAAACTATCAAAATTAATAATGGATGAACCAATAGTAAAATCATTAAACACAAAAGATAGAATTTCCCGATGTATCGATTGGTTAAAGGAACAAAATAACCCAAAGAAGCTATCCTTGCAAAATAAGAATGATATTCAGTTTATAATAGAGACAAATGCTCATAGGAAGAAATTTTTTCTAACAGCTGAAGATGATGCAACAGTACCTGTTGGTGTTGGTGAAGTTGAATTAGAGCCAAGAAATGTGGTACGTTGTGATATAGGCACAAAATTAAGTCTTAATGATTCAATAGATCAGTTAAATTTTACAGTACAATGTGAAATTTGTAAATGTTAACTGTCTATTAATGATTTACATATGGAGTTTCTATGTTCCAGCCTGTCCAAAAGTTAAGACATGAAAGATTATGTTTAGAATGTGAATGGCCTTCATGTCGGGAATTCTTCTCCAACTATGTGATGTTTCAAGCTCATGTTAGAATGCATATCTCGGATGTACATATTACTAAAATGGATGGAAATGGTGAGTGCTTACTAATAAAAATATAAATTTTAAACTTGTTTATTAAGATCATTATGTTGTATATTAGTCTAGTCATTTAATTAAGCTTAATAAGAATCTCGGAATTCGAGATACCCAGCTGTAAGTCTGTAAATACTTGTATATTGACACCCTAATAAGGTTAAATTTTAAAACCTTAGCTTCCCTTACCATTGCCTGGTTTTTTAGGAATACTTAACATAATTCAAAATATTGTTTAACTAAGCAAATATTTGATATTTAACCTAGGTATTGTAGATTCAAAAATCACAACTTCTTGATTTTAATTGTGAATAAAATATGCTTATCTAATGCAATCTTTATGATTTTCAAATTTTGAATTACATCCCAATTTTCATAACCCATCTAATTGGTTTTATATATTTGCTACACTTTATAGTTAACAAAATTTAAACTGGGAAAACACATTTCTTTCTCTCTTCCAATTATAATTTGTTTATTACTAAGTAGATGACCAGCCTTCTACGAGTCAAACTTAATACACCAGTTTCTGAAAATCAAACCGCTCAAAGACACTAAGCAATAGAAGCAGTAGAAAATATAATGCTTTTATATAAATATTTTAGTTTTCTATCACTGTCTTTGGGATGTATGTGGACACAAGTCATCAGACCGAGATCAAATTATACGACACATCAATTATCATGCATATCATGCTAAGTTACTTGCCATTGGCTTTAATGCGAGAGCGACGTTAAAGTTAGAGAGGTGTAAAAAGGATTCAACCAAACGAAATCAGTTACCGCCGCTACTGGGTGACCATTGCTGTATGTGGTATCGGTGTACTCAATATTTTGATTCTATACAGGTGAGAATGCAGTGCATGCACTCAATGCAGATTTTATTTTTGTTAGGCTTTAACTACACAAAACTAGTCCAATTAATTGTGAAAAAAAAGGACTATTAAGTTCCTAGCATAACACCAGTGATTTTTCTAATTAATTTGTGAATTAATACTATAAAAATCTAAATATTGGTATACTACATAACAAGCTTATTTCCACCACCTTGTTGAGAAATACAAACGGCTGACCTAGTTGTTAAAGCGTGCAACTCTCCTTTTAAATCATGGCTGTTCACAAATGAATTTTCCTTTTATGTCCGCAATAGGTACTTACTCTTATCATGAAGGTAAACATGGTGAGAAAAGTCATCAACACAATTATCGAAGACGAGCAAAGAAAGCAGTACTTGCCTATAAAGACAAAATGTTTAGTATTTGAGGTTATGCTTATAGAGTCTGTGCGGAAAGAGAACCATCGTGGTTTTTACTGCAGTGGTGAAACCTTTTGTTGGGTCAGATTAATATTTAATGTGGAAGAATTAAAAAATATGAGTGAATAAATGAAACAGGCAAATAAGAATTATATTAGATGTCGTAACTGCCACGCCGGTTCTCTTTTCAGACTCTACCTTGTTTTTTCTATTGAGAGTCAACACAAGAGATTTTATATGTTTATGCTACCTTAACTAGTGTTTACAGATGGACAAGCCGTTAGTGTCTTGTGTAAATAATGACTTTATTTTTAAAAAAACGTATTGAACATTGGAGAATATGTTAATATCGACTCTGAATTACTGACCCTAAAGAAATGCAAAAGATATATTATTACACTTTCATCAGCCCTCGTGATTTCTAAGCATTCGAAGCGTAGTATGTAGCTAAAGAATAGGTCACATCATAAGATCAGACATATTCTTTAGAATTTGTTGAAATGAAATTGCTTTTTAGGATTTTTTAGACCACGTTCAAACGCATATAGCATCATGTTCGCGAGGTCAAGTGGTATGCTCATGGGCGGGATGTGGGGCCGTATTTGTTGAAAAATCCCAACTTAGTCGACACATGCGAGCGCATACTTTGGAACGGCTTATTGCCTGCTACCATTGCGGAACGCATTTTGCGCTCAATAGAAAGTTGTCGGACCATTTGTTGAGACAGGTGAGTTTTAGGCAAATACTGAATATTTTTAGCTGTCCTTCCTAGCGACCTTTTAGTTAAGGATTTTATAAAGAACTTGCAATTACTTGATTTCCATTTCTTAAAAATGTTTTGCATTCGAAGGTGTTTGTCGGTAAAAAAAATTAAACGCGAGCTAAGCTACTACTAGAGTTAGTACTGAATTTTCGTTTTCACCTATCCGTGCTTGAAACTTTTCAATTTACGAAAATATTTTAGTATAATTACTATAGCAGCAGTGTTGGCCTAGTGGCTTCAGCGTGCGACTCTCATACCTGAGGTCGTAGGTTCAATCCCCGGCTGTGCACCAATGGACTTTCTTTCTAAGTGCGCATTTAACATTTGCTCGAACGGTGAAGGAAAACATCGTGAGGAAACCGACATGTCTGAGACCCAAAAAGTCGACGGCGTGAGTCGGGCACAGGAGGCTGATCACCTACTTGCCTATTAGATTTAAAACTGATCATGAAACAGATTCAAACATCTGAGGCCAAGACCTAAAGAGGTTGTAGCGCAACTGATTTTTTTTTCTGATAATTACTTTCTATAGTGCGCGAAAGTTTGGGGTTTGAGGTCTCAGCAGTGCTATTTATGCTGACCGTTACGCCATTATAGTACGACAGTAAACTTGATATTTTATATGGAAAAATTCAGCTCAGACAGATATGAACATCTCGAATACTAGGAATATTGTGACGGAAACTGTTTTGGCTAAATTAAAGAAAAGCAAAATCACCAATTAATATATTGTTTATAAGATTACTATAGTTTAATTTAATTGTCTCTCTTAAATTTGAGAGAAATTACCTATTGTTGAAGTAAGACTCCACAACAGTCTCGATATTTTTTATTCCCTGATCACCATTTTCAGAATGACTCTACCTTAGTTTATTTGCAGAATGTCGACCCATCGGCCGGTCACAAATGTTCGATTTGCGGCGAATTCTTCGCTAGCGATTATTTGTTACGCGAACATGTCCGCCGTCACGTCTCTTGTTACGCGTGTTCATTGTGTGATATGTCCCAACCAACGCCCGCTGACTTGGCACATCACGTGAGGTACAGGCATATGGCCAGCGAAGACGTGAGACGGCATGCTTGCCCGGATTGCGATTATAAGTAAGTTTTCACAATTATGAGTATGAACCAAATCAGTGACGTAACTATACCATCTGGGGCCCGTGGCAATTCTTTTGATGGGGCCCTGTCAGTAACAATCGTCCCTACTCAGTTTAATTTTAATAAACTTCGAGATTTTCATCGTACTCAATTACACGTTGTATATGTCCCACTAATGGCCAAAAACCTCCTCTCTTATGCGAGAGGGAATGGTCTGAAGCCCACGCTAGCCCAATGCGTATTGGAGACTTCGCATTCATCCATAGAACATAATATCTCTTGGGTCTGGGGCCCGTGGCATTTTGCCAGCCCAGCCACCCTTTTGTTGGCCACTGAACCAAATCGTTGTACTCCGCTGGCTCTACTACCCCAAATGTGTGACTCTGAACCAAGAAACATACATTACATAGAGTGTGTGTAGTGCAGTGTTAGCCTAGTGGCTTCAGCGTGCGACTTCGATCCCTGAGGTCGTAGGTTCGATCCTGTGCACAAATGGACTAACTGTGTACTGTGCGTATTTAACACCCGCTCGTACGGTGAAGGAAAACATCGTGAGGAAACCGTCACGCCTTAGACCCAAAAAGTTGAAGGCGTGCGTCTCGGACTGCCTACTTGGCTATTAGAAAAAAAACACAAATTATCACGAAACACGTATAGAAATCTGAGGCCCTTGTAATACTGTTTCTTTTTTAAATTCGGATAATACTGAAACATTCAACCCCTTAAAAAAATTAATCTGTAATAAAAGAAGTTAAAATTGGTAAAACTGTTTTATAAATTCGACCAAACCGATAAAAAAAGCTAAATTTTTATACTTAAGAAAACTTCACGAGTACTTAAGAAGCTCATTTAATCTGCTGCTGGTAACATGGTGGTAACATGTTTGGCATTTATGCTGTAAATAAATAAATATTTTTTTCAGGGCAGTGACGAAATATGATCTACGCGCTCATATAAAAATTCACAATCGTAAACGTAAGAAGTCTAGCGACTCAGACTCGGATTGTGAAGTGAAAAAGCAAAAAAATACAAGAAAATACATTTGCCATATATGTCCTGATAATAAACCGACGATTTTTGCGAGAGGTACATATTTAACTACGCATTTGGTTAAAGTCCATGGAGCTCAATGGCCGTGTGGGCATAGTAGGTTTAGGTAGGTAATTTTTTTTGATCCATAAAATAAAAAAATGCCAAATCTAGTCTTCAGTATTGTCAAAATTGTGTGTCAACAATCAATAAGAAATTTTTCAATTTATTGCTCCATTAGTTGCTTTTAATGACATAAAAATAGCCTTTATTACGGACAAGTTAATTTTCCTTTTACGCAAATTAAAAAAAAAAGTTTAAGTCCGTTTGCCAATCCCGACAAATTTCTTCTCCCGACCCTTCCATTCTGCCGATTTTCGCCCCACTCTTGACCCAACCTTGCCTGCAAATAGATTTATGTCATTTCCCATCTCTTGTATTATTACATTTAATGATATAAAACTTATATAAATGACATTACTGACCAATTTGGCTCAATAGCATTCGTCCTGTTAAATATGAAATACTGGCGTAAAACAAAGACTTAATAAGTTAATACTCAAATTATCAATTCCATGTGTTTTTAGGTATCAAAAAAGCGAAGACGGTATGTTCAGGCTTACAACTACTAGATTCGAAGTTTTAGAAGTGTCAAAGAAAATCGTTAACGGTTGTCGCGGGCCCAACGCTACCCTCTCTAATAAATACGAATTTAATATCAGAAAAGTAGCAGATTGTACTGCAACTGCTCCGACGCGTTACGAAATAAGCATAAGAAATGGCTTGAGACCAACAGACAGCCAAGAGAATACAATTAAAAAAATATATAAAGAAGAACAAAATACGAAAAGTGATACAGGAAGGAAAGAGATTAAAAAGAAGAAAAGCCTAAAAAGAAAACTGTCGCTCGGAAAAGACCGAAGAAGGAAAAACAGCCAATAGTAAAAAAGACTAAATGTAAAGGAGTGACAGAAGAAAGAAAGGATATAGAAAACAAGGAAAGATTAATGGAACAAGGAACAACATCTAAAGTAAATGAACTTTTAAAAAATGGCACGTTAGGAAATCTTACAGAAGACTTAGAAGATAATCTTTCAACAGAGAGTATAATCAATAAATATAATGAAATATCGAAACATGAACCTGAAGATTATGAATCTTCAAGCGAAGAAAATACTGAAATTTATATTAAAGGTATGAATAAAGAAAATGAATGCAAAGTAGAGCAACAAATTGAGGAGCCATTCAGTAGCGCGTTGGAGATAGAAATGTGTGATGTCGACGAACAAGGGAATGTACTGAATACAGAATTTATACAGTCTGAAATTATTTATTCATATTTAAAATAAAGAAAGTCATTCCAAAAAATGTAAAATGTATTAAGTGATAATAATACTGGGTGGCGCAAAAGTACTGGCACTAAAGAAAATTTGTTTATTTTTTTATATGGCGATAGTTTTCATTCTGTTGTTGAAAATTGTGTAGTGAACAAATGTAAAATGCACTGAAAATAAACATGGACCGTTTTACTCCCCAAGAACGTGGAATAATCGTGTCAATGTTCTTACGGAATAATTCATCAGTGATAAAAACACAACGTGAATTTCGTCGACGATTTCCTGCAAGATCACCCGATCTGATGAGTCCAGACTTCTTTCTTTGGGGTTTTTAGAAATCTCGGGTGTACGTGAACAAGCCATAGACTCTCGCAGCTCTAAAAGAAAATATTCATCAAGAAATAAGGAACATATCTCAGGAAGTATTGCGGCAAGTTATGCAAAATGTCATAAATAGGGCTCAAATGTGCATCAACTCTGGAGGTCACCATTTAAAAGACATCATCTTGAAATCCTAATGGCACAAATATACATTTAAAAAAACCTAAATCTAGTTTTCTAATTTAGAAAAAATGTTATAGCTGAACCAAATAGGGTCTTTACTTTTGCGCCACCCAGTATTTTGAAATTCGAATGTATAAAACAATACCGCTTTTTTTTTCATTTGAATTATCATAAAACAATAGTTTATAAGTACTTCGTTTCGCGGTAATTAATTTAAACCGGAAACTAATATTATGACGCCACGTGTCAGATACACAACTGTCATTTTAACGTTTACATTTACGTCTGTAAAAGGAATTGAAATAATCTATCAAAAAATCTTTTTAAATATTGTTACATAGGAACAGTCGTTTGTTGTAAGTACCTTATTTGGTACTAAAGTATGTACCGAGTATCCAATCACCCTACCAATTCGTCACCTAATCTATTAAGTATGGAAACACTAGATAATATAACAAACGATTCGCAAACCGTAATATTTCAATTATAAGTTCTTTAGCAAAGGAAGTTCTTGTGATTTATTCTCTCTTCTGAAAATATTGTCATACATATTTTTTTCAATTTCTGTGTAACTAATGGGAATTAAAATGGACCAAAAATAAATCCAATCTTATTAATGCGTAGATTTTGTAACGTAACTGAATTTAATGTAAAATTTTAGTTTATGTTATTGTCTTGTCAAAGTGAAAACAACGAAATATTGAAATAAAGATGGAAGGGCATTTGCTCTAGTTTAACAAACAATGTTGCCGTATGACTGTGATATGCGAAATCTATTAAGTATTATTAATTAATTATACTTTGCCAACATTACCCTTCCACCCTTGTCTTTTTCCGTTTTCTTTATTTTTAAGATAATTTATTCTAATTATGTACTTTGAATACATTAGGTACCTATCAATCTTACAAGTAGCTCCATTTTGACGTGACAAAGTCTTATAATTCGATGGAGCCGGCTGCAAGCACGAAAAAACATGACGCATGCGTTACCTCGCTCTGAGGCGTTCCATTTAAGGCTTGAAGTGCAAGCGAGAGCGCGGTACGAGCGACAAAGAGGCACAATTGGCCGCCGCGTTCGACATCGACGTATTATATCGATTATATTGTAATCGATCAATTGAATTGTGATTTCCATTTACCCCGTTCTCTATATCCATACAAAATATCTATCAAACAAATAAAATGACAATTTTCTTTTGAAAAATGCAGCCATTCCATCAGTATTTTCTTATGACGTTGTCACGTTCAACTATCGTCAGTAACCCGATTTTTTTAAACAGGTTATATGTAGCCTTTTTTTATAAATCTATTGCTTATAATTAATTAGTTTATGCGAGTACTACGCATTAAAATAATTAACGCGAATATATTAAATTGACATAGCTTGACGATTCGAGTGCTTTACAGAAATCGTCTCATGTATAATATCAAAAAAGTTTTATGTTTATGTCCGTTTAAGGATTACCTCTCATATATTGTTTCTGGTTTTCAAAGGTAGAGTTTAATTTATTAACGTTGAGAATATTTCTTTATTATAAAGAGGCTAAAAGATCGTTTAAGAATGAATAGATGACGTTTTTTTATAGGCGTGACTGTGATATGATAAGATTTATGCTATTAAACATAAGATTTCTATAAGGTTATGGGTAATAAAATGCCGATAATAAAACAGTAATTTAATTAACACTTTAATAATGTGAAAATTTATATAAAAATTTAAAATTAATAACAAGTTTTTTATAACAACAAAAATTTATACCTACGAAATAAATGACAAATTCGGACAAATAATATCCAATTTTTTCAATTATGGGTAGATCATATAAACTGCATTATCAGAATTATTCTTCCCTATCAGAAGGTTTGATTCCCGGTGAAACTATTTTGGTTAGGGTAGAAGGACTCCTTTCTCCGCAATTAGACTCGTGGTTGGTCCGTTGTGCGTACGGGTCCTGGCTAATTTAGCCAGCCTAGCTCCTTCCAGAAGACAGAAGTCTCCTGGGCACTTCACAGGCTTCCCGGAGCGACCTCACCGTTCCGAGGATTTTTCCGGTGAAACTATATTTATATTAGTAGGCACTGGTTGATATGTGCCTTACAAAATGGTCTGAATGTAACACAACGCAGGAATGAGATAGTACTGATGTACCATTTTATTGATTTAATTTTAACAATAAAACAATTGTGTAAACTTAATTATATTATTGGATCGTCTTAACAGTTTAACTCAAACTGAAATATTCAAATGGTTTGTATTCTATGAAAATAGGATGTGAAGAATATTAAGAACTGTAGTATGGAGTACTAGTAAAATATGTAACTTATACCTCCTCATTTAATTTTTTTTATCACAACATAGGAAAATTTGAAAGGGACAACGCTGGATTTTTATTAGTGCAGTGCTTTAAACAAGAAATATGTAAGGTTTTATAAGAAGGGGATTATCATAAAGAAAGCATATTAAGTGTAAATGAATGGATACAAATATAAAAGGATAACATATACGATGTTATATTATTTTTTGAAACTGGCAATTAATCTGTCTGCCTCCCTAAACCCTGCCTCTACAGCCCCATGGACGGCAGAAAATCTATGGTGGGAAGTTGCCTCACCCGCGAAACAAACAATTGGGAAATTTTCCCCATAATACAAAGGTTCGCTTAAGGTAATTGAACTGCCGCCTTTTTCTTCGTTGGCAACACTGCGGTAGGAGTACGAACCTCTTACGAGACCGTTTGAAGCCCACTCCGTTCTGAAAATAAAAATAGATTTAGTGTTATTGTATTTAAACTATTTATCTATTCGTTTTTATTAAGTATTTATTGTATTTAGAATATAAATGTAATACGTCCATAATCTTTTTTCGTTTCTTCAAACCTAGTATGAATTGAAGCATGTACTTTTTATAGTCCTAAAATCCAGTTTTCGCCCTTCTAAGGATTATGAACAATGGTTCAGAAACTTTGGTTGTGTAGAAATAAATATACTACCTATATACGGGTTCATTGAAATATGAATTCGACAACACTTTCGAATTTAGCACTTTCTGTATTTTTATAATAATATCTGTACTAAAAATCGTAAAAAGGTACAAAGTTGTTGGGGATTTGAAGGTAATACTAACCGAGTAACACATTTCACGGGAGCTACATTAAAGCTCTTCTTGAAAACCACACTCAAAAGCTTTTCGATCCCAACTTTCACTTCATCAACCGTCAATTTCTCCATTTTCTCAGCTGCAGCACCATAAATCCAGGCAAGCAAAACATTTGGGTGGTATTCAACGGTATTAAACCCGGTAATTTCTGTAATCCACTGTTCGTTTTTATTAAATTTTGCTTTGTCTTCCTCCCGCCATAGAATTGTAAAACAGCCGGGTGTTTGGGGCCACCAAGGCTTGGTGAATTCGACGTAGATTTTGTCCAAAACGCAAAGTTGTAGGTTGTTAATTGCGTTTATTTTTTCAGCTGGTAATTGTGGTTTGAAAAGTTGATTGTATCTGAAAAATATATATTCATGAATAACATTGTGATTATTTTTTGTTTTACTTTTGTTTTAAATTAATGAGAGACGATATAACCTAACGCTGTCCATAAAAACATTTTAAGCAATTTAATTTGAGCATTTTTGAAGTTATACTTCTTTAGGCGCGTTATGAAAAATTGATGAGAGTGAAATTTTACGATGCGCGCGCACCTGAGACAGAAAGTTGTCAGTGTGATTATAGCGTGCGCGAGCGAGATGGGAATAAGACAATCTACAAGTAAAAAGAAATAGAATATGCGTGAAGTTAGCAGCTATGCCAAGAATTTTGAATGAGCACATTTACCTTTTGAACAAATAAAGGAGTTTTAATTATTTTTTCAAAGAAATTTAGCAATGCTTTTTCACAAAGACCTATTGTTACTTAGTTAAAAGGTTATGAAACATACGTAGTTATTAAATTGAATGAATAATATAATAAAATAATAATAATTATTATTATTAATATTAATTAATAATTGAATAATATACTAATCATTACTAAATTACTAACGTTAAATATTTGTTATTAATTATTTAATATTAAAAAAAAAAAAAGAAAGCCAAACAAGTATAACTTACGCGCGTACATAAGTACACGCACCCTTTTTTTTATTGTAAAAATTAGAAAGTTTGATTAAGTATGCTATCCTATTATTGTGACTACAACATATTATAATTTGAGTTTGTTATGAAAGAACTGGGAACCTTCAATCTAAATCTAATGCATATGTCCTTATAAACGAAAAAATATTATTTAAATTTTCTATTGACTCATCTTTTCAACATATACAATTATACAATAAACATTATTTATACTAGTATAAGCGCATTTTATTTTAATTACCGTATACATGCTATGGTAAATGTCGCAAAACTTTGATTGACGCGTAAAAATATTTTTACTGATTTGAAAGAAATTTTCGTCCTGTTCATTCTTCTATGCGTTATCATAATATAGTCATCGATATTTCATCTAAGATGTGTCCGAAACTTTTCGATTTAATTTGTCAACTAGGGTAATTCTGCTTTTCTACTTAAAACCCAGTTGCCTAATGTTTTTATCCAAATTTTTTCATATATTCAAACCGAAACATCTAAGTTAAATAGATCCTTGTTTATATGCCAAATCTAGAACCACTTAAAGTATATCTGACACAAGCAAAATATACAACCACTAAAACTAAACTCGTTTAATATTTTAAGAAATTTAAGATTTACCTATCCTTCAGAACTCCCAAAGATACAGTTACAATAACACTCTTCGCGGAATACAGACTTCCGTCCTTGCATTTCACATGTACCAAAGGGTTGCCAGCTTGTGGTGACCGCCATTTTATAGTCTCCACCTCTTTCTTAAAATTGATCTGAATGGGCAATTCCTTTGAGGGATCGGGATATTTATTCTGAAATTCATAATCATAAAATTGTATCGCCATAAGTTGTACGCGCATAACTTCCGCGTGTCAGTGATTAGTTTGACATGTTCGTTGCTGTCAGGACAAGGTGTTGTATATTTTTTCCAAAACTAATTATTTTTTAAATATTGTATATGTGAGTGAATAAGACAGAAGACTGCAAAGAATCTGCAATATATTAAAAAATAGTGGAAGACCAAATTGTTATTAAGGTAAGTTATAAATATATTTTCCAATCTAGTGATTATTTATTGTACTGGTTTTAACTCGAAAAGGTCTTGTTTTTAATTCTAGAACTTGGACTTTTCTGCTAAATATCTCTCAAAATAGACTATTAATTATATTTAAATATCCGTGCAACACAGTTACTATATTCCTACTGCTGTTGACTAAACATCTGTTTAGACAGGCGTGACCAGCGTTGCCAGACGTCCCGATTTTGGCGGGACGTCCCGATTTTTAAATCAAAATGAAACGTCCCGCGCGGGACAGGCTTAGTCCCGCTTTTCGGGAATAACTCTAATGGCAATAAGAAGTGTGTACTACCACCACCGCACAATAATGGTACCAACTCTTTCAACAGTATCCAAAAAAATAAAACCAGGATTATCTTCAAACTTTATATTAAGTATCCTACTATCAAACTGCTTTCCAAAACGCCTTCTTTATTAAATGCTTCGTAAATTTAATTAAATCAGAGTTACTCGTGAAGTTTAATCTGCAGTTATCCTGTGAAGAGTTCTTCGTCTTTTTTAAAGAGAAAAATGAAACTTTTAAAGAAGTTATATCTTCATATATATAATATAATAATTACTGTCTTATTGTAAGTTGCAATTTGAAACACTCACTCTTCTGAGTATTGTTTGAAACGCAATATTTATCTAATAAATCAAACTTTTTTTATTTTGTTTTTTTTTCTTTTTAATCAGAAGATCAATAAGAACTATTTAACGATAGGTTTTATCTGATTTAAATACATTTTCTGTGACTATTTTCCTGTCTATTGTCAGAACGTATTTGAACTAATTAAAAACATAATTATTTAAAAAATTCTATTATTTAATTTTTTTACTTCCGTTTCACAAATAATCCCCTTTTTTCACTTTAAAAGTGCCAAAATCCCGACTTGACTAAACAGAAATCTGGCAACGCTGGGCGTGACCCACTAACGGCATACCAATTTGTATGGGAATGACAGCTCACGCTTTGACACGTGACGATTTTCATACAAATTCACTTTGCGTTAAACTCAAACTCAAAATATCTTTATTCATATAGGTAAACATGTACACTTATGAACGTCAAAAAAGAACTTAAATTAATTGTAAATTTACATTTACCTACCAATTCTCAAGTCAAGGGCGAAAAGCGGGCAAGAAGAACTGGCAAGAAACTTTCCGCCACTCTTTTTAATAACTAAGTTTTGAGTCATACAAATTGTTTGAACTGGAGCAAATCAATCCCAAGGATTAGGTTCATTTAAATATTAGTCTAATTTATAAAAAGCTTTATTGATTAATTTACGTTTAATGAGGGCTTTGAATTTATTTAGTGATAATTCTCTAATTTCACTTGGGAGTTTGTTGTAAAAACTAATACAATTTCCATATAAGGAGTGGTTTCTGTTTGTCTGTTTCAAATTAGTTCTGTTTCGCGTATTATACTGGTTAGTCTGTAGTCAGTCGCCTGTTGCAAAGGTACTTATCTTAAGTCCCTAGACTGATTTATGAGGGCTATGAAAAACTTTTACTTCAGATTGGATCTATGATCATCTTTACAAACTTTACATAAACATAAACGACTTAAAGAATCGAGACTTAGCTAAGTATGTATCAATAGTTGTAGCGACACCTTCAAACTTCGGCAAATCACGGCGATGACGTCATAACCTGAATCTGCTAAGAAAGTTATTGAGGCCGACTAGTCGATGATCCTCCTTTTCGGTTGGACGAAAAGTAGGTACACCATCCTTTCATCCTTACCAATAACCAATGACTGATGCCTATATGTATGATATACGTGATCTGTTAAAAATATTTACCAATAACAAATCCAATATTGTTCTGTAGCCTCTTCCTTTCCAGTTTAACATGAATTCACCTTCACATCCCCAACTCTCTTCTAAGCCCTTCAACGACTTGCCATGTAGAGGGTCGGTTTGACCACCGACATGGTTGTTTTTCTCAAACCATTCTAGAAAGGAATGGGATAGCTTTGCATCCTTTGTCAGCGTGGGATTGGTTTTCACTCTGAAATATTTTACAAGTTATAGTTTAGGTTTCATAATATCGCCATTTCAGCCAGGCCAAATTGAATACATTTATTACGTGGGTATTTTTTAATAACGAAGATCGTAATTTTAAAGCCACTCAAAATATTTCTTAAATATTTCGGACATATTTATGGTTTATTAACATATACTCACGCTTTTCTAACACACTCAGAAACGGACTGGCTCGTATTCTTATCTGCTTTCGCTACAGCCTCATCCAAAGCGCCAATAATAGATTCACTCAAGTCTGATTTGAGAATTTCCCCGTTTGACAGCACGTACCATTTATTGTCAGGTTTAGGGCGTCCCAAAAGTCCTAAAGGGTTCGCCATTTCAAAGACTATGTTGTCTTTTTCGCCATGACACCTAAAATAAAACAAATTGCCTAATTCTATTCTAATATAATATAAACATATTAGTAGGTGTTAGTAGCCAGTTAGATGTCTCCAATGACGCAGACATTTCTTCGACTGTAACTATGCATTCATCTGAATATTCAAGCTGCCTAATAAAGTAAGTCCCCTATTTCTGCAACTGTGCGAGGGTACCTTTAGTTTAAGTACCCGCTGAAAGATGGATACATATGTATTATATATTTTTACAATCATAGCAAATAAATATTATGTTATTATTATTATTATTACTGCTTTATAACCCGAAACAATACTAATAATAAAGAAAACTAGAAATAAAGCTAGTATAGTACGTTATAAATCTCTTCCGAAGTACAATTTGTAACGTACGATTTACAATCCAATTCATGTTTATGGCCTTTTTGGTCAATAGAACATTACGAATTGCGTCCGATTTTGGCCGTTAAATTATGTGATTACGTGTATTAGATAAACATATCCTCTTACCAAGCAGCGCCAAGATCTAAATAGCAGTCTCCATATTGAATGGTCTTAATTCTTCCCCCGATTCTATCATCAGCTTCCAACCCCAGAACATTTAAACCGGCATCGTGGAGCTTTCGCAACGCCGCAATGCCCGACGCACCGCACCCGATTACTATTACGTCCATTATTTGCCTGAAATAAAAATTTATCTTTAAATATAAAGTCTTTAATCGAAGTGCATCTGTGTCATTAGTGGCGTATGGCGTCTCCAACTCTAAAGATCCATATAAATTTTGTATTTATTGTTTTTTTTTAAATAATATGTTATTCAAAAGCCATTAATGCCATTCCGTTATTCTTCAATGTGTGTTCTTGTGTTGAGTGCTTTCGTTACTTTTGATCTGGTTTTTGAAGTGAAACGTCTTTAGGCGCATGAGGGTGAATTTTTACGAAAACGTCACGAAGATTTGCAGCGTTTTTGTCGAAGAAAGGGGAGAGAGAGCGATTGAGACCGATTGAGAGAGAGTGAGAAGGGCGAATTACCTTAAAGAAATTATATTTTTAAAATTAAAATTTTGTAAAGAGAATTCATGAAATATTAGTAGTTAATATTTTATGCAAAATAATTTATTGAAATCTCAAATTACGAATTGTAAATTAAAATGCCACGTGTTGTTATTATCGAAGAATTAAATTAAAAAAGTTACATTTATAATTTGTATTAATTTTCGACACTTAATATTTTAATGATAATTAAATTCATTAAATTCCTTACATATCTTCCTTTTTCACTCCCTTTAAGTCTCGGAAATCGAAAGTTTTAGATTTGTAAAAATATGAACAAGACTTAAAAAATCGTTGGCCAAAGTAGTTTCACTTCTGACATGTGTACTTTGCACGCACTTTTTTTACAACCTTCATTGATTTAATGATTTACTAATTGATTAAACTTAATACTATTAATAATATAATCAAGTTTAATTCCATATTCTATTAGGTACGTAGGCATAGTTAAATAAATGTATTATATTCCCATTAAAATCTCATCAGGGGGTTCAACACACTGAGGTTAGATGGCTCCTGTATTCTCAAGTAGTTTTTGCATTCTATATAGTGTTGCATGTATCACAGTGTGTCCACCATCTTCACCTAATAACAATTATTTCGAAAAGCTGGTTTGCTCAATTTTATATTGCAGGAAGTAAGGTCCCTACCGAAAACGAAAACCAACTTAGAAATATTTACACCCGGTATAATGATGATAAATTTAGAAGTGTGACAAATGAGTTAATAAAAAACAAATGCTTATTTTTATTAACGCATTTAATCAAATCAAATGTAATTTTACTATTAGTCAATTGTATTATTGACGTATTGCTGTGTTTATTATACGACAAAAATAAGTATTTCCTACAATTTTTTTTCAATTTGAGTTCTCTTTGTAGTAGACTCTTGCGCCGTGAGGTTCAATAGTGCCAATTAAAGTTATATGGGCCTTTTACATTTTTGATTGTTATCACTTAGTAGGTTAAGTGTTTAAGATTTTTTGGTTTTGAGCATGTTCGTATCATTAGCTGACACGCGACATAACCTATAAAATGTATCCAAAAATGTTGTTAATCTATAAATGAATGTTCACTCACGTCATTTTTATAGAATAATATCTATACACAAATATAGAAGAACAAATCTTTCACACGACCATCGCGAACGTCTAAATATACATACTTAAACATGAAGTCAGCATTATCTCCTTGACCTTTGCCGGGTAATTGATAATTTAAATTTTTATAAACACACAATTATGCAATGCTAAACTCTCATTTAGCGTTTGTATAAATTTTTTATTTCGTCACTGTGGTAGAGTCGTAATGGATTTAATTAGCTTTTCGTAAAAAAAAACAATTGAATATCGAGTAATGTGTATACGTAAAATGGACTGCGAATAGATAGCGCTTGTGCAAATGAAGACAATGTGCGTAATACAATTAACATTTGTAAACAAGATTCAATAAATTAAATCATACAAGAGCATTTACGTTATATTTGTTAACTTATACATATAAATACTTTCGCTTTCGTGCCGTTAATAGTGCGACAGACACACAGAGTCCGTTGAAGCGTTAATACCTTTTGTAAATAATATATTTCCATTACATAAAGCAATGTTTGGTTTACCGCGAGAACTAGACTTGCAGCATTCTTGATGCCTCGTCTGTCCTGCGACATGACGATTAGGTGTCCATCATTTTGTATAATCAAGGGATTATGTCCCATCCACGTAGCCTTCCAAACTTACTAACGATTATTGTTTCGCCAGAACTCAAGCCTAGGAACTCTATGTTAATCATATAGAAACTAAATACAAGCCATGGAGGCTGTAATAGAAAATTTAAACCAGTATATTTACGAATAATATAATGTAAACACGTACTTATAAATTATGATGTAATTATGTATTTATTACAGTCCTTAGTCTTCGTTAGTGCGCATATTACGCTACTTCGTAGTTGCTACATGATTTACTTTAATTTCTAGTAGTCGCAGTTGTCAGTAGACTGTCTACTGCTTTGTATGCACTAAGCGTGAATTGTAGTTGCGTGTTTGATTCCATGGTTAACATGTTATTTTTATATATTGTTTTTAGAATTATGCTGCATTTTTGTACAGATAAATTTATAGATAATTAATTTAACTTTTAATATTTGATTTCATAATAAATGTCCAAAGTTTTCTACAATCATGGTGATGCTATATAATACGCATCGCCGCGGACAACGTCCTTTCAATGATGTGTAAGATTTATTACTTGTGGACATGAATTCGATTCCCGGCTGTAAATTAAATTTATGCAGAAGTGATTAGCTGCTGATTAGCATAGAAGTAGTTACGCATAGAGGTGGCAGTTTAATAGTGCTAAAATACGATACACTTATTCGAAAGACAAGGGCATGAGTAAGTAAAAAAGTTTTTTGGCTTAATATAGATCTCGGACGCAAATATAAAATTTTATTTTATTTTTACTGCACTTTTAACTAACTCGCAGTTTCCAACATTAACAAAAATGTATGAATTACATTTTAACCTGCGTAATCTTTGTTCACTGCTAAGCCTCGGGACCTTACCATGACACTTCAGTAACCAAATGACTGACCCAATAATTAGTTGACAATTGACTGGCGTCTATTAAAAAGTAACATAGTACCATCTAATATGGAATTACGTGCTTGAACACTGCTGTCTTTGGATTTAATATTGACAATTCGAAAATTATAGTGCACTAAGTTAAACCTTCCTTGGGGACGATTTAAACACACATTTGAAAATACCGCGATCAAAAATAAGTGAACATCTGTGCCTGAAACTAAGACTTGGCTTAAAGGCCACGTTACCACACCATGAAATATAAAAAAAAAGAATTTTGAATAACTATAAAAGTTTCGGTATCCAGCTATAAATTATGTATAAAACATTGACTGTACATAATTGTGGTATAACACAATATAGACATTCGTTTCAAATTTCATGTTTACCTTCGTAGTAATATCGAATGCATTTACTATTCAATAAGCAATATTTTTAAATATCAAAGACGGATTACTGAATAGACAGCACACGTAATTTGTAAACCGCTCAGGTATTTTAAAGTCGGTTAAAACATGCGGACACTTTAGTGCGTTAAAAAGAATGTTCGATTTCCATAGAAACTATTGATTTCGTACATAAAAATTAAGTGAAATCAAAGGCACTTTTAGTAACTTTATCCCCTTTAACGCCTAGGGGTAACAGGACTACTTTTAAACAGGAATTGAATATCATTTCTGTTTAGAATCTCCGCATATAGTAGAGAGTGATCTTTCAACTCTCATCGTTATTGATATTATTTTGCTAAAGAAAAAATATAACTTTTTCAACCTCAAATATACGTAAATCTTCTCTTATTTATTTGTAACGCGTTAGTATTAACGACAAAATATACAGATATTTGAGTTACTAGCGACGGTTATATTAATACTTAGGTATTAATAAACTCATGGATTTTTTATCATAGGTAATACAAGTTTATAATGATTTCTATCCCGACCCAGGTTTTTATAAGCCAGCTGTTGCGCAGGTGGCAGGCGCACGCGTCCCATACATGAAAAACTTTTTATATAAACAAAAGGTTGGAGGTTTTAAGTACCAAAACTAGAGGCTATATATGAGATAATTCATCTGTAAACAGCAGCAGTTAACATTCACCTAAATATGGATGGTACCTAAGAATTAACCCGCACCAGATCATCTAGTTCTAGTTGCTTTAACATCAAGCGTTCGCAAATTATTCTGAAAGATTTTTTGTTTATGATAAATGGCATACGTATATCGATATTTTTTTTTCAGTAAAATAAATATCGATTTTATGCTTTAGTTATATCAGTATTACCATGGCGATAAGAGAAGGGGTAAGAGCCGTACCAACATGCCCAGTTGCCAATGTAAATAATAGCTATCTTATACAAATATATGTATAACGGAGACACCTAAGCGTTAATTTATTTATATTAAAGATGTTAGTGTTGTAATAAAATTTCATGAATGGGCATTTACCATGTAGAGTCAACATGTTTGCTAACATAGGTACGTGATCTTGAAAATTGTTCGTGACGTAATTGTTTAGATTTTGCAATTCCTTTCTAATATCAGTTTACAAACACGCGGTCAACAAACAATCGGTGAACTAAGTACTTTTGTCTTGATGTTTTTTGTTGCTGACTATTGTATATTGTTGGGGTAGAGGTGTATTGTATGCACCCTGCACCGGTTTGATTGACATTATTACGGCAGGTAGAGCCGCGGGGGGAAGTTCAGTTAAATCGCGTCCGTCGCGGCGAGCGCTCGCGTTGCGTGTAATCGGAATGCTGGAAAACCAGTCGGCGGGATGGCGGGCTTCGGATTAAGATTTGCGCTATGTTGAAACATGCTCAGCGGCCGCCGGCGGCAAACGATGCCGAACATCGCTACCAAAACATGCCGCGGCGGCCGCACCATCACATCCCCTTGAATGTTTCCACATTGGATTCATCCAAGCACTCCGTTGGAGGAACTTCAGCCAGCGTGAGCCCGGGAGCACAACCACAGAATACAAACCCTCCCGTGCCAGTGGTCGCACCCATTCCGTTGACTTCTCCACCCAAACTGGCTAATGGAAACGTAACTGGGTTGCCATCAAGACAATCCTCGAGAAGTAGAAGCAATAGAGCTGCCACGGAGGAAGCCTTAACATCCCTGGCGTTGTTATGCCTGGTTAGCTTACTCCTAGCTTTGCTAGCTCTTCTATTTCTTTTAAAAATTTCTGCGCCTGCGACGAGCGCACCTGAGGAATTCGCGGTGGTGTATGAAGTGACATTAGCCCTATGTGCCTTAACGTTATCATTGAACCTCTGCTGTTTGTTGGTTTGTGCTATTCAGTTCCTGTTTGCGGTGAAGCTGGTGCATTCCCCGTCCGCGCCGAATGGCCGGTGAGTGAATCAATCAATTTCTGGTACTTTCAGCATCCGTTACTACGACAAACCGGTTGCGATCAGGTTAGGATACAAAGTTACGTGCATTTACGAAATTATTTAAATATTTGCTTCGGATATGTTATCTCTAAAGGTTAATTCAGATCGTGTAACTGTAAGGAATTTGTATTTGGTATGCGAGAATTCATAATGTCCCAGTTTGGATGATTTATAAACGAATACGATTTTCAAATTATTTACAGGTTTCTTAAATTTATTGATATCGCATTATCAGTATTTAGGAGTCATAAGGTGGCAGGTGTTAACGGTCGTTGTGTCGGTTATTTATTAATGGCGGGTAAAAAATGTTCCGCATTCAACGGTTAAAACGTGCGCACACGCTCTATATTTGTAATTGTTCTGCAAACATTTATAATTAGCGTAACGCTTTCGTTTGGCTGAGAATTGATTGTCGTATTGAAATTGATTAATCAAAACAGATTCCATCTCTTCCGTAATAGCGTTTTAATGGAAATTGTATGGTAACTCATTACTAGCACATTACAGAAAGGTTTGTAGACTGATAAGAAGTGTAGGATTTGAAATTGTTTATTGATTTAAAATGTAATTAAAATTGACTTGAGTTAAAAGTGGCATAACAACCTAAATTTATGTAAGCTTAATAAAATAGAAGAAATAGCGATTAAATACTCCATATTAAACAAATCTTTGAAAGTACTGCGAAGACTTTTCACCATTAATTTTAATAACTTTAGGGAAATTTTAGATTAAACTTAACCTAGCCTGACTTGATTTAGTATAGTTATTTTAACAAAGATGAATTCCGTTATAAATACCCACACTAAACCTCAATTATTTCCAAAATAAGCAGCATCTGAAAATGTATGTTCCGTTACACTCAATCCTTTATAAAACTAGTAATTGGTTTAAGTAGATATAGGTACCGGTCAGTCTTCCGCGTGGAATTCTTGTTGTGGTTCTAGCTCGCTGGATCAAGTCTACATTTACTGTTGGAGCAACAAGCCGAGAGAATAAATCGAGAATATTAAATAACTTCTGTGCTACCAATACATAAGGTGAACCGAAATTAATGCAATGAAATAAAAAAAATCCTGACTTTCTTTTTAAAAGGGCTGAGAAATTTTGTAAACCTCCTTTGACCTGGGCGTTGCTATCTTCGCATAGTCTCTCGAATGACACAGATTAATAAATGTAAGATATTTTAAAGATTTGTGAGCCAACAACGGGATACGGGACTCATGATGATAGAGACTAATCAAAATATTTCGAGTTCGCAAATGCCGACAGGTTGAAAACCGGTCTGTCTTCCGACTATCATGACCTTAAATCCGAGGTGTAAAGCGTGCTTGGGCGCACCCGTTTGATATAATCTTGTTGACGTGTTAAGGGACATATTGCATCTTCAGTGATGTAAGGGGCGCCAGTCTGCTATTCCAATTATAAAGCGTTTGAGGTGTCAGTGATTATGGTTGGTTTTTACTTTAGTATCATACGATAATTATTGCGCATTAAATTTTATATTAAACTTAATATTACACACTGACCTTCGAGCCCAACAGTAGTATAAAATGCTTTAAATGACTGGTCCTCTCACTTGGGGTCCAGGTAGACCGAATTCATGAAATTTTGACACAATGTCATTATAAATTTCGATGTTATTATTCTATAGCATCTACTACGTTTAGTACTGAAGAGTAAAATATTTGTCCAAAATATAAATCGGTGACGGGAGTATTGTTTTATTTACGCGAATAGTATATAAATATACACTTTTACAGGATTAAAACTGTATAAAATACCGAAAATATACATTTTCTGAGAAATAATAAAGAAGTTGGTTAAAATTTGAAAGTAACCTCACAGCTTTCAAGTTAACTTGCGCAAAATATTGGATTATGAAACTTAATCTCCCTGTATGTAAGTAAAGTTTAATAATTATGATTTGTGAAGATTAATGATTACACAACAAGATAGTTCTTGACTTTAAACGGATGATTGTGATATATTAGAAAATAGTGTTTACAAATAATGAATTTAAAAAACATATATTTTCTTGAAATGTTTAGTGTGATGAGGTCTTCAATTAAAAAAACCATTTTCAACTTTACTAACATTTTTGGCAAAGCAGAAAAAATTTAATCGTAATTAATTTTAGGTCCAATATACATCTCAAGACAAAGTCTTAACCTTTAATAAGAGAAAAATCTTCAAATATACATATACTTTATCAACAAGCCGATTAAGATAGACATAATTTCATTTTAAAAAGTTTTGAAATTATTTTATTTAATTGCAAAGCCTGAAATGTGAAATTGGAAACATAATTTATACAACTTTTATATAATTTTAACTTAATGTGGTGTATTTAAGAAGATAAGTTACTGGTTATTAGAAAATAAAATTGTAGAATTTATTGCAACCATGTATTGAATATAAAAAGGAATCGAAGAGAACATGCATAATTGTACCTACATACTTTATGTAAGAGGATTCAAGGTTAATGCACTTAGAAGTTTGCTCTAGGTAATACTCTAGGGACTAGACTATATCAAACTAAGCTATGGTTAATTTTACGTTTAGTTAATTTTTTTCTAAGTACTTATATAAATTATAAAAAGCTAATTTACAGTACAATTTTATTTCTAATTTTGCCTTCTATAAAAAATATTTACGCTATTACACAATCTATGTTATTTCCTCCGGATGTTTCAAAATTTTTGGCACAACAAGAAACATGAAAGTAAAACTTCCTTATTGCAGGAGTAAACAAGCGTTTACGAAATGTACCATATCAGCTGAATTTGGGTCAACCGCGCCGAGAATGCCAGTACCTATTTTACATATAAATCTTATAGAATATTACGTAAATTTACTTTATACACAAAAACCTATTCTGCTAATATAAAGAAGAGTTGGTTTGGTCGGTAGTACCTACTCGTTAAAAAAACATGGGTCGGATTGAAAAATTATTTTCTTGGCTAGTTTGAGAAAGGAAAAACTTCTTAAAGGATTTTAAAAATACAATCGGATTTCCATGTCTATTACTAAAACGGTTTGAAGCTATCAAATTAAAGTTTTTTCGACACCTCAAATTAAAATTTTCAGTATATATATCTCCGTGTCCGTTGCGTAACTGTTACGATTGCTCATGAAATGTCCAGATTTCTCTTTTCAGTTTCATTTTTACCTTTCTCCTTACACTTATTTCCGCTTTTGCGTTATTATGATTTTTGTTATAAATTACGCATACAAAACCAGTTTAACTTATTACAGTCCCAGACTACATAATATGTTCAGCTTTTAAAACCCATTAAATTTAAACCAAGTAACAAATAGGAACCGTAAGTTTAAATGGAATTTGTACAAATTCTTAGAATAGTGATTGACCGGAAATAATCGGATTTTGTGACCTTGTCGAAGGATCTTCTGATAACCGGTTCTATCGGCGGAAAAGGGTCCACAGTTATTTGAATTCTTCCCTTGTAACTGGTGATCATTGATTCAACACTAACAATCTAAAAGCTGTTCCATTGGTATTTATTCATAGCACACTGGCTGAGTTTTGGGAGGATTTACCACAGATAATTATCACAGATTAAGAAATTTAATAATAAACATGCCACGTCGTTTCGCGTTCCTTACATCATGCACGAATTTATTGGAAAATTAAAGTACTTGTGTACCATTCAGTTACTTTGTTTCTGTTGTAGACGTGTTTATAGATGTTAATACTTGTAATGAATACGCTTCTGAAACCTAGTATAGTAATTTTATACTATGATACTGAATTGCGCGTTATTAGGGCAGAACCCTGGTGTCAAGTTAAGACATCCTATTTCTATTATATACCCAATGCTAGGCATTCACGGCACGGCTGTATATTGTTTGTGAATATGTGCTAGGTTGACATATGGTATCTTTATAATAGATATAGATGTTTTTAATAGTTCTTCAATAGTTTCTTCGTACTTTTATCATTTTTATTGGTATTTTTTATTAGCAAAGTTTTTATACGGACCCTTAACTTCTTGGAAAATATTCTATAGCCTATGTTAGGGAATTCTAATACTGGTGTATTTCAATCTGTCCAGTTGAGCCTACTCATCGCAAGCAAAATATTAGTGTACGCTCTATAGTTATTTAAGAAAAATTAATATCGCAGAAGCTTGTTCTGTATAGTAAACATTCGTATTTAAATACTAAACATGTATTTAAATTAAATAAGGTTTAAATGCTAACCACATAAACAATTGAAGATGTGCCTGTATTTATAGAAAAACATTTGTCACCCCTTACACAGTTATAGCCATTCAGTAGCAATTTCATAACAAATAATAACAAAACCAAAATGGTACAATACCAGGCATACTATAAATTCCTTTATATAAATTTGCAGAATGACCACTGCAAAGATTTTCAGTGGCTCTACCGTAACAAATATGTCGGTGCGCGTACCACAGATAGTACCTACTAATATTTTTTTTCAGACACAGATCCTATTAATAAATAGATTTTGGTTCTGACAGAATATTTTATATTGTATCGTCGCCTACGTTTAATTTCAAATTCGCCGAATGCGCCGTAAATGTAGGCTAATTTAATGTGAAAAAGTAGGCTTATATTTTAAGTGATACCGTAAACAGTATTAGAAGGCTAAGAAGTGAATCATAATGCGAGGTTAACAAGTTTTTCATTCATCAAGTTCATTCATTTTAAGCGGATTACTTTTATTTTGAGCTTTTATTTAGTATTTGTTTTTTACACAATAATAAAATAAGGTTATTATAATTAGAAACATATATTAAAAACTTAGTGTTTAAATTATAGACGAGAACGAAAACCTCTTTTGGTTAAATTCTAATTTATTTACTATGGTCTATGGTTGACATAGATAAAACGCAAACCTAAAGATATTTCTGCCCAATTTAATTTGAAAACGAAAAAAATATTATATTATTAATGTATTGTTAAATATTTAAA